TTGTACGATATTACATAGATCCATGATACTTGCACATGCAAGCAGGTACCCGCGAACGAACGAACTGATCGCTGGTCTCGCGGGGGGCTGGCCAAGTATGTACGTCGCTACTGATGTTGCTGTACATATCCATTTTAACGATTCAGGGTTTCGTCACTGACAACGACAACTTACAAGGGGGTAGGTTGTAGAGGTCAACTCTCAACGATGAAAAGCCGGCGATAACCCCGGAAAAGAGGCTGCATACAAGGATTAACATGGGGTTAATGGTTAATGGATGGAGCAGGCTTTTGAATGATAGGTCTACAATCGGCCGAGCATCTGATACATTTGTTGTGAAAAGAGTGCCCAGCTGGTACAAATTGTCTCAGCGAATCTGCCTCGTGAGGAGACGTACATATGCGACTGCGAGTACGGAGTAATCGATGAATAAAATTGAATAAAAAAAAAAAAGAAATTCAGTTGGAGGTTGATGAATAGAAAGGAGAAAAGCTTAGCGCGCTTGGGATCAGACCATAGATCATTGTGATAGCCCGTAGGAGAACGGAGACAGCATTGATGCGGGGCTGGGATATGCATGCATGCATGTGTGTCTCTGTCTGTCAGTCAACAGGAAGATACACACCCGCAAGTACATACATAACATGCCTCCTACACGACAGGGAGGTTACCTACATAGGCATTTTGATGTATGTTAGGTAAGTCCAAATACAGACTTACATGCCTGCGCAGGTGCATACATCTAACATTTCGATACTGTTGGAGTCTCGTAACTGTCGTATTCTCATATTTTCTAACTATTTATATCTAAAAGTGACATTTGGTGAGTTCTTGGTCATGATGTCTAAGACATTAAACATTCAGCATACCTACTTTAGGTAAGTAAGTACCTAAAATGTGTAAAGTACGTAAGACTAATAGGCTTGCGATATGATAGCTGAGACGCGGACGAATCTGGAGATAGTTTCGTTATCTAGTGTGGTATATACTACTGCCGCTAGAAGACGACAACCAGACATTGATCTTAGATACATGAAGCTGAAAATTTTTGTTATGTCTCGCATATGTATTGTACCGCAAGTGCAGCCTTGTCGAATATCTCGGTGCGAGCTCCCAGTTAAGAAGGCATCAACGGTCGAGTCAATGCTGATTGGATGATCTGACCCTCGCATACCCTCCATCACGTCTAATAGAGGATGGACGACTCAAATGAAGGTTACTCCCGCTCTCGCATGCCGAACACGAACCCCAACTCTAAAAGGCCACATATACTACCAGCTACTTAACACTACACCATCAAGAGAAAATTCTTCTCGAGTCCCTCAAGTCCTTCAATCCTATGCCGCCTTGCCGCGGTACTATATTCGAGACTTCTCCCAACAGGGACTCGACCAATCAGTTCCTCCTTGCGTCGTCTACCCTACGCTCGGCGGACGATGCTTACCTGAAGGGAGACTGATTAGGTGAGCTTGACAAAGAACTGGTCCCGAGTAGGGAAACATTGGGTTGGATTGTCAACCTGGATCTTCCCGCCGTCGTATAACTGACGCAGCCCTACAGAGAAGCCATCAGTAGTGTTGGTGGTAATTCCTCCCGTGGCCCCCTCAGAGCAATCCCGTCGCTCTGGAACTTTATCTAACAAATAAGCTTACAGGCAATCTAACAGCAGTGCTTATTCAATTTCTTCAGCGTTGGAATATATTAACTAATATCGGAAACACCCTAACGTACATATTTTTAATGCAGAGAGTTAAGCGATTTGTTCTATTTCGAGGAGATTTGTTGGAAGCAGGTTGGAGAGTGATTGATTGATTGATTGATGATAGAAAGGTACTCCAGCGCATAAGTACACGTAGTAGAGGTACTTAGACTTTAAACTCCACTCTAATACTTGCCAAAATAGGAAATAAAACTATGAAGGCAAACGTAGCCCGCTGCCCCGTTAGGAGTTTAAAAACTGACAACTCCCGACTCTAATCGCATTACCCCGCAAAACACCGCCCGCAGGACCCGAAACTTTACTGTTTGTATGAGAAGTACCTGTACATTAGATAATTATAAATGTCGTATACGTTCATGTACCAAAGTGGCGTTTATCAATCGAAAGGGGAGCCTCGAACTGCCCAGTATCCCTAGGTACCTTTAGGTAGGTAAGAAAACAAGGTACGCTACTGCAATTACATCCTATATATCAAATGGATATCTAATCTTAGCTAAACAACCTTGGAACCCTACCTAGAAATAAATATATCTAATTCTAAGGATAAATCAAGAGCTCGAATTCCTTTTCCGTAACCGGCATACAACTCCTTTTCCACACCCTTATAGTTTAATAATAACATCAAACTCCACACATTGGTCAGGCTGCCGAGACCTTTTTCTGTCTTTGGCGAGGCTATAGAGGAAATCCGTTATGCATCGCCTACCTACTTTAGCCTGGAGGTATGCCCCCCGAGTTTAACCCGTCCAATCCCCGTTGCCGGCTCCGACGATGCCCACCCTTACGACGCGCTGGATGTAGTAAAGGAAGTTCCCAAATTGCGGCTGGCCCTGTTCAATGCTGTTGTTGGAAATCCCCAAACGCGGTTGAGTTACAATACCCAGCTCCCAGCTCCAACTTTTTGCTTTATTGCCGCCAGCCATCCCCATTCCCTTCCCTCCCCATGCTCTCTATTCCCATGTACGGATGGATATTGCTACATACATACATACATACATTACCTACACCTATACGCTCAACTTACAAGGTATCCTACCTAGCTTAGCTCGAATCTCTTTCCCTTGTGGGCTTGGATGCAACCACAGGCCCTGCAGAAAAGAGACAAACGGCCCCCAATCGAATGCCTATTCTAGGCATGCTGTCGCGGACAAGTCAGTCAGCCAGTTCAATTTAATTAATTCATTCATGTATGCTACGTTGTATATCTTCCCACGTGTAGGCTAGACGCCATCGACGATTTCCACACCCACGCGGCCGCCAAATCTTCCAATTCATACTAGTCCGACTTCTGTCTTTAGCGTTGTCCCATATTTTATTTTTCTATTTATTTCTATTTCTCCTATTCTTCCCAAAGGAGCCATGATTACAACGATATACCCCGTCGGGAAACGCTTGAACACCACATATTACTACTCCTGATTCTCTCAATCTCCATCTGCGAGTGAGCTAATATCCATAATCCATAATCAAAGCGATCATGCAGGCCTAGCATGTGGCAGTCCAGGGATGTTGCCTATAATTTCAATCAAAGCAAGCTCAATTTCGATGTGGGCCGCGAGGGGGGTGCTTTAAAGATTATAGTACAATAGTAAGGTCGTCTTATTATATAAATATATGCGATATAGGGACCTCATCAAACTTGACCCTATATCATATAGCTTCGAGAAAAATAATAGAGCAAAAAAAAAAGAAAGATATTCATATATTACTACTGCTACACACGTATGTATGTAGGCAATTCTAGGCATTGATGGCGAACCGAACCGACACGAACCAAACCCCTGACAACCGCGATGAGGCGGACTCCCCGTCCTTCTAGCGATAAGAGCCAGCGTCCGGTTCAGTTCGGCTATCAATATTCGGCCCCACGGTTCTTTCGTGCGGTGATGTACATATACACATTACCTCTTATGCATACATACATCTCCCATCCCATACATATCTCATCACGCAAGTGATTTTCGGTTTGGTTTGATGCGTGAAGTGAGAAAAAAAAAATTAATTCAGGGGGGTTGGAGGCGAATCAGAATTCGCCCGCGTACCATAATAAACCACCAATTAGCACCAATAAGAAAACACGGGCACCGCTTAGTCTCATCTCACTTACATTCCTTGCCTTGCCTGCCCTGTCGTGTCCCTGCCTCCTTAACACACTCTCTTCCCTCCCCCCACAATGTTCTTGCCTCTCGTCTGGGGTTCTTTGTTTTAAGGGAAGTCCGCCCAGGGTCTGGTATAGGTGGTCGACAAGGTAGATAATGTAATGGTATGATAAGCTGCACGATACATATACAGATCGTCGCAGGTACATAATACACTATAACGTACTTGGGTACATGGGGGGAACTCGTGAACGAAAAGAGAGATCTCGCGAACAAGGGTGGGTAGGTAATGCTGGGTGGCTGGGGTTACTTGGTGTTTGAACTCGACAAGAAGAGGTAGATACCTAATTGTACCGTACCTGCAAAGAAAAAAAAAAGATACCGAGAGGGTGTGATGTCCGGAGTATCAGCTCAAATCATAAGATCCCAACATGCAAGTCAGTAGTATAACCATCAGGTGAATGAACCTTACAAAGCACAGAGATAAGGAACAAATCATCCGGGATCTGAGACCCTCTCTCGGCCACGCTGGACGATGACGAACAAACGAACGCCGTTGGCGATTATCTATACGACGACCTAGCGATCGCATCGGAAATCTTCGTCGCGGAAATATGAGTGTTACAGTAGAAGAAGAGTAGAAAGGGAGAGAAAGAAAAAATCATCTATGCAGCGTAATCCTGCGGTGCTGCTGTTACATACCTTATTTTGAGTGCTTACGGTAATTCATTGCAAATTGGATGTATGGTTTATTATTAGCGATCTCCTCTATACTAAGTCTCATTGAATTTTCTGTGCCTGTCTAGATGTTGACGGTGGGCACAAATATTGCATCGGATTGGATACATACAATACATACTCAGCCTGCCGTGCCGTGCGGACGAGGAGAGACAAGACGCAAGAAGAGAGTCGTCGTCAACCCTTCCAAGGGGGTCGGTTTAAACAATCGACGACAATGTCACCTCGGCGTAACATTGCGAGCCGGCGAGATCTGCCTATCTCAGCAGTCCGCTGTAACTTTAGCACGAAGGAAGGCGATTCGTTATGTTGCCCTGAAGTCTGCCCCGTGACAGCTGCCGGAAGCCGCTAGAGATGCAACATAGCGCCCCATTCGCTACCAGGGAACGACAGCTTATGGTCAGCTCCTTTCGGGAGTTCAATAAACTTAGGTTATTGTGGCCAAATTCGCAAAAGAAAATAGCCTCTGCACATCCTTGTTACCATCTTAGGAATATCGTGCCTCGCATTGCCTACCGCCCAGACGCCGATTCGTGCCTATCAGGAACTCCCTGTCTACTCGTCATCACTGTCCGAGTCGAGCAGATCTTCCTGATCGTTGAGTGCCAGCTGCACGAATTGGCGAACCCACGCAGCGTCCCTGTCATTTAGTTGGCCGTCCGCTTGGAGCACAACGTCGTCCCCCATCCAATTCTGTCGGACGCGACCGTTGTTGATCACTCGTTGGTTCTGCCCCTGAGGTCGATTCCGGTTGTGTTGCCGATTTATCCCAGGGTTTGCTCTACCTCTCCTATTGCCCCGGCCATTCTGTCGACCTGCTTGCAAGGCATTTGCCTCTCCACGGGGATTTGGAATGCCGGGCTGTGGACGTCGTACCACTCCTCCTTGAACCGGCGGTGCGTCGCCCTCGATTCGGAGCACAAGCGGCCCCTCGCGGGCGACGGCGACTCTTCCATTAGGTTGATCTCTTGGCGGTTGACGCTGGCCGGGTCTTGGCTGCGGTTGTTGACGCGGTGCCAATGCTACCGCCTCTGCTTCTTCATCAGCCTCGTCAGAGTCGGAGTCAGACTCGTCGTCTGCAAGGCCCTGTTGTACAATCTCTAGATGTTGACCATACTGCCCGGGTACGACGTTATCATTACCCGCGGCATTACCTGCGTAACCGATGCCAACGTCATCCCCATCCCCTCCCTCGAGTTCCCACAACCTCATGTAACAACCGTTCGTCTTCCCTGAAGGTTGAATATTGAAGTGTTGATACTGTGATGATCCTAGTTAGTAATTGCCACTTTTTAATTGCTCGGAGAAAAATTTTGAGCCGTTGAGAAGCAGCTTCATGAGTATACATTCCCGAGCCCACCCCGAGGGTGTCGATCTCTATTAGGACAAAAGCTGAGTAATGAACATCATTGAAATACACTTACCGGGTTTGAAGGATCAAGCCAAGCAGAACAGAGGTAGCAGAAGTGCGTCTGGCATTTGAAACAACGCATGTGATTGCAACCGTGAGTCTTTTGGCACGGAGCATCGCATGTCGGGCACGGCGTTGTGTGCAGTCTCAGATAGTCCAGTGACGCCTTCTCTTCTTCTGTAATCTCTTCCTTTCGATCTTTCGGGATACAATACGTGAATTCGCCATGCCACGACTGCTCGCATCGAGAGCAGAAAGCGAAACCGCAGTCTTCACAGATGGCAAGCAGATCCCTAACCGTTTCCCCATCCGCCTTCTTACTTGCAGCACCTTCTGCATCCGAGTCTTCATCTGATGCTTCGACGAATTCAAGTCCTTCGGGCTTTTTGTGCTTCTTCGATCGAGCCGCACCCTGACACCATGATCGAGGGCAATACACGGTATTCTTGTCTGACTCGAGCTCGGTTTTATGTTTCAGCATAACATAGCGCTTGACTATATCCCGTTCGAGGGGAATCTGTAAGAGTTCGCTGGGGTTGATGAAGGTCTTTGCTTTCTTTTTCCTAGAAGAACCCTTGACAGCATCCTCGCGTTCTTTGGCGCAGTTAGGCTGGAGACATATTACGGAAGCAATATCACCCTCAGTAATAGCAGTATTGTAGAAATCCTGTAAACATTGGACACAGAATACATGACCGCAGTCAAGCATTTGATGGCAGACGGTACCCTTCTTGGGATCTAATTTTATCGTTAGTTATGCGCATGAGAAAGAGTAAGATTATCTCCCAACACTTACCTAGGCAGATGCCACAATCAAATGTCTCTTTCTCGAAAGCTCTTCGCTTAGCTTTAATGTCGTAGTCAAGGATCGCTATTTTGTGCTCCGGTCCAACTTCCAAGTGACCTTTACTATCGACTAATCCGAAGATGTTGTCGGTGGATTGTTGTAGGTTGTCGATGTATGTGAAAATGACCTGGTCCCGTCCTATCTCTTCCCAAAGAGTCTCGACGTCTTTCTCCAGCTTGCGCAAAATCGGTTCAGAAAGCCATGGAGGCGAGGTGGAAATGCCGACTTGGGGTGGTTTCTCTGAGGGGTATCCTTCTGGGAGCTCTATACTAACTTGTAGAGAAGGCAAGTTCAATAGGGAATGAGAATCTACGGCTGCTATCGACGGGATCTGTCCTTGGGCTGGCTCAATCGGAGGCGCGCCTTCAGTTGCAGCCGGAAAAAGCACAGTTAAAGGGGTAGATAAGCTCACAGGGAGCTCGATCGAAAATGTGTGTGGGTTACTTTCATCGACTTGCAGCTCAGGATAGATAGCAGCTATCGTCGATAATTCCTCTTGGCGGATATCTTCCTCCGCCATTTTGCCTCAAGGTTATCGAGTCGCATGGAAGCGTGTCTGACTATATTGATTCTGTGTGGGCATCTCTATGTACCTGCGGCGATAGTGCAGCTTGCTGACGATGTAAATAGGCGACGAAGTGTTGTAGGTCTATCGCATGTTCTCTTTTTGCGACTGACTGGGCTGAATATATCCAGGGTTCGTATAATCCCACCAACTCACCAGATGAAATATGTAGGTACAAAACGTGAGACGGCTGTCTTGGTTCGAGAGTTTCCTAGGTATATCGGTTTGAAATCAAGGTCGTCCCGGAGATAGATTAAAGAGTTAAAGCCGCGTTAAAATGAATAATAAAAGGCAAGTTAAATTTATCGTGGATTAAGAATCGCATGTGGCAATGAGTCTGACGGCGAAAGAAATGGTGGGGCATAAATTTAGCAACTGCGCCGACAACACTAGAAGAAGAAGAATAATCGACCAATCAGATCAGATAGGTATCTAAATACGAACTCTAATTGTGAAATGATCATTTAAATTAGATATATGAGATGTCAAAATAATGTTTATTTAAGTTATATCATAAGCTCACGGCATAATAACAAAGTTCAACAATACGTGACCTTAGTACTTGTATCGATCCTGATAATGAGGGGCAATTTCACTATGACGATGTAAGGACAACAAGCTCTAGACCATTTTCAGCGTGGGGTTTTGGCGCATTTTGTAACTTACTTAGGTACATTTTGTACCCAATCTTGGGTGGATCTATACCACTAAAGCACTAAAGACCCTTAATTTTATTCAACTGTCAGGCAACTGGCCACTAACACCCTCACTATCTATTTCAGGTAATGACGAAATTACATTGATCTTTAGCCCGAAGCCAAACTTCCACCTCTCCTCTTTTTCTTGAACATCGTGAATCAACATCGACGGTTGTTGAACAGGCTAGTTCAATTGCCCCTCGCAATTCATTACTGCCTGTTCAACAGTCACTTTATCATTTTGTGTAATCTCACGTCATTGTCCTTACTCGCACGTTGTATATAAGGCATTCCCGAGACATCTATCTGTAGCAATGCATTGTTGACAGGTGGACAATCTTCGATAAACCGACAACCACCTTTCTCTACGATATACTCAACTCACCTTATCCTCTTTCGCCATGGCTGATGATCCAATACCTCTGGCGTCTTTGTCGCTAACACACGTACACTATGTAAGCTTCGTCCTATACTATCTATTCTCCATCCCATCAGTTTCTCTACCGCAAACGAGAATCCTAAGCTAACCACCACTCTTCCCACATCTCTAGGACCCCACCGACCATATATCCTACCTCTGCGCCTGGCTCGCCCTAATCCCCCAAGGCCTCTGCGTAATGTACGCCACCCTAATCTGGTCAACTCGAGAAATCGAAATCGCCCTCCTCTTCGCCGGGCAACTAGCCTGCGAGGCTTTAAACTTCGCCCTAAAACGGCTGATCAAAGAAGAGCGTCCACCGCGTATGAACGGAAAGGGGTACGGCATGCCTAGCAGCCACGCGCAATTCGTTGCTTACTTCGCCGTATCACTCTCATTGTTTCTATTGGTCCGCCACAAACCCCCGAGTCCACGCGTAAGAAGACGGAATCACACGCCGATGAGCATATCCGAGCGTGCTGGTTGGAGCGTCCTGGCTCTTGCGGTTGCGGCGGCGGTGGCTTGGAGTCGGATTTATTTAAACTATCATACCGAGAAACAGGTCATGGTCGGCGCGGCAGCGGGGACGGTGAGCGCTGTGGGGTGGTTTGTGATCACGGAGCTAATACGACGGTCTGGGTGGTTAGCTTGGGGGCTTGAGACGCCGATAGCGAGGTTCTTCCGCGTGAGGGATTTGGTTATTGAGGAGGATATGTGTCAGGCTGGGTGGGAGAAGTGGGACGACAAGATGACGGCTTTGAGGGCGAAGAAGAAACAAAAGTGATACGCTATAGCTGTAAATGATAAAGCGTATGGCCGGGAAGATATGTGGCTCGACTTACAGCTCTATGAAAAATTAGCATTCATCTGATAATTATACCTCTGGTGTGATGGCTACGTGATAGTATAAGTAAGGGATGATGTGTTCAATCTGACTAGACTGGACGAGAACATAAGGAAAGGCAAGGGACGGAAAATAGAGAGCGAGAGCGTATGTTTATACGGACGCGTAGAATGTTGGCTGACTGAGATCATAATTACGAGGTAGCTTTCGAATCCTTCGAGTACTTCGGTATTTCTGTACAACATCATTCGAGTAGCAAAAAGTACGGCGAACACATACGAATGTCCTCGTCATTTAGATATAATTGCATCTGATGATAATCCTAACGTGATATTCGATATCCTATAAATATTGATGGATCATATCATGTCATTATTATATCTACATCGCCATTTTCCACCAACTTCATGTCGCTTAAGCTGGGCGCGAGACTATCCATCTCTTGCAGGGTATATTCCACTAGATAACTCTCCTCAACCAACTCTTCCATGCGCTTGTAATGTCTCTCGGTATATGCCTTAAGCGCGTTTAGGACCTCTTTTAAGCTCTTTTGGCCTCTAGCTCCCTTGACCGATAGGCTGGAGAAGCGCGATGCTGGGTAGCTCTTGATGAGTGTCCATAGGATACGTTGGGCCATTGGCGCTGTCCGAGCGTTGGTATTCCAGTCTCGCAATCGTAAGAGAAGTAAAAATAGCTGTTCGTCGGAGAGTGAAGTTAATACTTCGTCGACAGCCTTTAGACCCGAAAGACTTCCGGCATCCGGCGTTTTCGAATTGACGACCTTTTCAAAGAGGCTCTGTAGTTTACGGGGATGGTTGAGTTGAAGCGCCATTGTGATAGCTTCTCGGTAAGCACCAACGTATTCATAATTCTCAAGCTCTTGTTCTTGTTCGATGCGCTTTAGCGCTGCCTCATTCGTAGCGATTTGTGTTTCGCTCGAAGTATCCTTCCAGAAGGTAACAGTAGAGTCACCACTACCGGAGACAAGCATATTCGTCTCGGGATGTACTGCGAGTGCCCAAACGCGATCTTCGTGGTTATCTAACGTGCATTCGTTTTCGCCTGAATTAACATCCCACACCTTCACCAGACCATCACCACCAGCACTTGCGCACAATATGGGTTTCTTGCTGCGCTCTTCAGCTGGGGGGATGTTAAGCCAGACCACTTTAAGAACGGTGTTTGAATGGCCTTCAAACGTTCTTAAACATGTATAGTCTGTGAGATTCCATAGTTTGACGGTTTTATCACCACTTCCCGTGAGCACAACGCCTTTTCTAGCAACAGAACCTTGCTCACCTTGAAGTACGGGTGTACTAGGAGGTGCAAAGCTAACAGACCACACACCTCGACGATGGCCCCGAAGGATTCCTTGGACTTCTCCCTCTTCTATGGACCAGATTTTGACCGTTTTATCTTGCGACGCCGAGGCAAATAAGCGTGATGCATGGTTGATGTCAATAGCATTGATGTCCTTGTCATGAGCCTTTCGCGTGTAAATAGCTCTAATGGTTGCTTTTGCGCCCTGTTGCGGCTCTCGTGGTATCTCCCACCTTTTGATGGTCTGGTCGGAGGATCCCGTAATTAGGAACGCTGGCGGATGACTTAATGGATCCGCGTGCGCCTTGGAACCTTCTACCAGTCGACTGCGAGGCAGTGCTACGGCTCCGACAGATTCAGCATGGCCTGGGAATGTCGCCCAGCAAGTATAAGAGCTATTAGCCGGGTCTATCCGCCATAACTTCGCTGCGTTGTCTTTCGCGCCCGTGGCAACCCAGTGTCCAGACCAATCCACGTCGAGGGATATAATAATATCATCGTGACCCTTGAGGAGGGCGATGTCCTGCCCGAAATATTCGGAAGAAACTAGAGGTTTTGTTCCAGACTTCGGTTCGGTTACTGAGACTATTCGAATATCTTCAGAATTTGTCGCTAGCGCCATCGCAGAATGGTCAGGTAGTAAGTATCGCAAATCGATGATATCGTCATGGGTACCCGAGATTCGTCTAAATGGTTCGGGCGGCGGGATTTGGGATAGCTTGTGGGCTTCGGAAGGGATTTCGTAAAGAGATAAAGTATGATCGACTTGGACGCAGACGACAAATGGTAGGTCTGTTCGGTAGATGGCACTGACAAAAGCTTCAGTTTCTGGTTTTGCTGCTTGCTCTTTTGTAAGTTCCCGGCCACTGTCGGTAGCCCATAGTCGCAAACACCCATTCGATCCAGCAGTGTAGGTAACTTGACCATCCCCGACAAAACCGACCGCTTCGACGAGTTCAAAGCAGGGAATAACTTTTCGTACTTTCCAGGATTTTGTATCCCACCATCTAATCGTCTTATCCCTACCAGCAGTTACCAGCGTATTTTGGGTGGGAGAATAATCGAGCCCTTGAACATCAGAAACATGTGAGTCCAAGTTCGCTACGACACTCCTTTTATGTAAATCCCATATGCGAACTTTTCCATCTTGGCTTCCAGAGGCTAATCGGAATTTTGCTGTTGAAGGTATATCATCTTCGTCATCTTCGGCCGCCCCTTTAGATTTCTTCCTCTTCTTCTTGTCCTTTGACGCATCTTGCTCCGAGGTGTGTGCGGGGTTTGCGGCGAGTTCGAAGAAGTGGAGGGCAGATACAAGTACGCTCGGGCCTCGGAAGGTATGTGTCACATAACCACCATTGATGTCCCAGACCTTGATAGATCCATCGGTTCCTCCGGTCGCAAGGAGCGTGCTGGTTCTATCGACAGCCAGAACCACGACGGGGGTGGTGTGAGGTTTCAGCGTTCGTACCAATTGAGCTTCTATCATATCGTTCGATTTCTTGAGGGAAAATATTCGCATAGATAGCGACCGAGAGCATATGATAAGGTGGGATCCCGAAGGGGTTACTGTAAATCAATTAGCTATGGCGGTCTTATTTTTCTGTAGAAGTATGCGACTTACATGTTAGAGTTGATATTAATTCGCCATCCTATAGTATACGTGTCAGTACCTATTTCGCCAACCAAATATATGTAGTGATCAAATACGAACCCCTTCCACTGTTGTAATATGTTTACCCGTTTTTATGTCTGTCAGTATCGCATCCTCCCCTAAGGTTGTCGCTAGAATTCGTGCGCCATTCTCTAATGCGACCGAACCACCGGTGAAGATTGGCCGAATTACTTCACTCGCCTCGAAGGTCGTCTTGAATGGCGCTTTATTTGCCATGGTGAAACTTCGTGAATGTTGTAGGTGAGTTGTAAAAGGTTCAGTTAGTTCATCGTTGTTGGCGGGAAGTTCAAGAAATTTTTGGCAGTAATCGATATCGATAAGAAACTCCCTAATGCAAGTAATTTTGTACCTACCAATAATTCGTTAGGCGACAAATTCAGCGATTGGGGGGCACCCATGCGCCATTAGTTAGTTACCTGATGCTACCCAAATGTGGCCATAGCTTCCTTCAGCTACAACACCTGCTGTAAACGCCACTACAACCGTCACCGTCATCGTTTACATAAAGGAGCCTGGCAACATTTAGGTCGATACATAAATTCACCTGAGCTACTTAATTATCTCAGCGTTTTGTTGATTTCATAGATTTGCTTCCGATTCATATTCTGAAGTGGGAGTTGTACCGATAGAAATCTATGGTAATCCTCTTTCACCTTCCTGCGCTACACATGCGCCTCTTCTCACGATGGGAAGACTCGAACCTTTAACATCCCGAGCATTGGTAAATCTTACAGATGAATATCAATGTTATAAGGAAACTAATATTCCATTAGGGACGCTCACCTTACGATGGGTTCTCTCCAGGAGAAGGAGAAGAGGATCCTCATGAGCCCGAAAAACAATACGATGAGACAGGGAGAATTGTAAATCCTCGAACTAAGGAGATCATCAAGGATGTTATTCGCGCTCATAATGAGGTCATGCAAGTTATTGGCGTCGCTGAGCCTGATAATGGAGGTATTAGCGCAGCCGACTTAGAGATGGCGAAGCAGTATCGAGAGTACGAAGGTGATACGGGGAGGACCCTGAATCGCATTGGTACTGGGCTCACCGTACTGGGCACTTGGGGTGTTCACAATATACGTCGTCGCGTCCTGGTAAGTTACCATGTACCCCCTATTTTATCACCTCATATTTGCCTACACATACTGATAACCTAGCAGTCATATCAGAGAGGTGCTGATATCTCGTTCGTGCAACTATTAGCCAGCGAGCGCAATAATCATTCCTTTCTACAACTATGTCTCGCAGGTTATCCCTGCCATTTATTAATGCATGTGCTATGCTCAAACCTCAAAGCCTTAGGATTATCTTCAATTCGACAAAATCCCTGGTAAGTTTTAGTGTTTTGTTTTATAATAACGGAGATTGACGCCTTCTAGGCTTCGGGGTGCTTCCGAATATGTTCGATTTCATCTGGAGCTCTTCCTCACGATGCAGCGCTTAGACATGATATCCCCATATCAATTACTTCCCGGGCCCAAATTCCTCATACCTTTCTCCAGCTCGTCGCCGTTTTCCGCGCCACCCCTACCCGACTCGTTAGACGCTCGTAGCGTAATCAGTTGGACCGGCAAGCTCATTGCGAACCTCGCTCCTTATGCCGCATTTTACGCCTGCGGCCATCTTTGGAAATTCACACGCGCCTTCACGAGGTTACACATACGGAAACGCCTGCCTCGACCTGTGTTCTGTTTGCCTGCAAACAACCGGATAACACTACCACTTACTCCCGCCCACCGGCAAACAGTCCCCGAATCGCCAACCCTAGGGCCAACTGATCGAGAGATCAGACATCAGGATCCAGAACCTGATGCTTCAGCCTCGGTAGCCATAGATGTTCAATCTGGTGGCGAAACGATCCCAGTTGGATCAGTCAGAAGACAGAGCACCTATTCAAGGGGCCCTGATGACTATGGGACCGATGAAGAGGATCTCGAAATGGTCAACCCAACACTAATAAGTTTTGATGTGGACACCAGCGAATCGCCCGATCCGCCCACTGGTGTTTGGTCGGCTGAGTTGCGACCAAGCTATGCGGGCGATTCCCGCCAACAACCTAAAGAGGCACCTAGATACGTTGTAAATCCTCTAACTACCCTACCAAGCATGCTCGCATCAGAAACCATTGCCAAGTTCGCAACAAATATTCTTTTCATACTCCTAGATATCCATATAGACCCAATTGTAGCAAGGGCTCTCGCGTTCAGCAGAGGTCTTCCTTACAGTGGTACGTATAATGGAGGCTTTCTAGCGGGTTTAACATGGCGAAGCTTCTTCAATATCATTCAGTTGGACCTTACCAAGCTCCTCATCTCTGGTGAGGTTTGGATTGTAGTCACTGTGCTTTCGCAGTGGTTACATATCACTGATGAAGAATGGAAGGAGATGCACAAGGAAGAACGCCAAGAAACGTTGAGTGATGTTGAGCAGGATACTTCATAACCCATGGTTTCTCAGATATTCCTGCCAAGAAGGAATCTCACTAATAGCAAGCATGACGCCCACTAATGGGCTCGAGAATGGTTCGGGGCGATTAATTATGTGTTTTTTTGGAGTTTGTACACTATACGGATGGCTGATCAAGAGCACGCATTGTGGCGATTCGGTTTTGATGATACCCATCTCCAAAAGGGACAAAACAAAAAGGCACGTTGATGAGTATCGTTGATCAGGTAGGGTAGCAGCAATACCAATTCTTAAGCAATTTACATCCCACACCTCATAACTCTAGGGCGACGTTTATCCAAGCGGGCTGCTACCGTAGCACTATGCTATGCGAAGTGGATCATGGAGACCTAACAACCCTCGAATCTCAAATAACTCCAAGAATCCACTTGGACAATGGAACGTATCGTGAAGCATTTTAGGCATCTAAGGCGGATGTTAAGCTTTTTATGCAGAGAAAGCCCAGGGAAATTAATTTGATATCGTGAGATAGCCTAGCCTCCCACGTTGCGTTCCGCCCACGGAGAGATAAGGATATTCATTAATGAATAGGTAGAGATGGGCAATATCACCGCTTGAATTAGGTATGTAAGATAGTTACAATATCGAGAAGAACTTCCCTAGTTTTACTGGCATTACTCATCAGGAAACGACGGCTGTTTGATCCTTCTACCCGGCATCCCACCGATGGTAGGTAGGTAGGTAGGTGCTATTCTTTTTCTCGGCTAGGATCAGGTCGTGGTATCGATACAATGGATCTCACTCAGCGCTTGCGCTTTCGGGCGTTTAGATATGGCCTGCGTGAAACTGTAGATAGGTATGTTCATGACTGAGGTTCTTCATCTTTAATGGCGACTATGTCGGCAATTCCAGAATCCCGCGATGCGAGGCCATGATCTCGATAGAGGCGTACTCGTAGACAACTTAGCCGGAAGTAGGTCTGGAAATTTAGAAAGATCCCTAGCGCGTTTATGGGTTGCCGTTCTACGGTGGTGTTATTTCGAATATTCGAGCTTTCAAATATCCAAACAAAGGAAATTTCACGTAGTAGTAGAAGGTGTGTGCTACCTCACTCAATATATCGTCGCCGGGATCTGCAAGGCCGGGGATGATTCGGCGTCCCGTTCCTCTCCGATATACCGAGCCACGGCTGATTCTTGCCGGCGGAGAGGGGCCGAGGTTGTGTGGCGTGGTTCATGGAAATCGCGGTGGACTGGAAATGTTCTACTTGTGGCCGATGAATCCGGTGTCGCATGCATATCGAGACGAGAGAATGCTACCTAGATGCTTACCTTTACCAGGTATTTCATTCGATTCGAAGCCAAGATCTCTATGATATTATTCTCGCAACGTCATTACTGAGATTGGCGCAGAAAAGACAACTCTAAGTGGTCTCATTTTTCTCCGTCACGGAAACGTATGTTACTTACAATGCGTCTCCTTAGTCAGGTTATTGTGACACAAAATCGTCAAAAATATAGCGATGACGACTATAATGCTTGAAATTTGGTTTATGTTTGCCTTCTAGGTAATTGAGGTTGCAATAGATGATGGAAACACTACATATACGAAGAGGAGGAAATAGAAAAAAATATGATCAGATCTCAAGATGTTGATGATGATGATGATGCATGTAGCATCCTTTTCCTTTTGTCCTATAAGGCAAGTTATAACGGTCTAGATGCATCGCTATGAGTCCTTCTAGTAAGTGGCGTGATTTCATAAGCGTCTGCATTGAGCTGAGAGAGATATCATGCGGGTTACCGATTTGAGTCACCCGCCCAATAATTGTCGAGATGTGAGTACGTTAGTAAGAGTATATTGGCAGTCTATCCCGCCAGCGCCACCTATTACCTGAAATACCAAGACGTTAGAGCCTTACGAGTCCCTAGACATATGCTAATGGTTGGTTCGGGCAAGAGGGTGGCTTTTTCATGTGAATTTGTTGCGGGGACCCCAGGCCGCGCAAATCCCCTGGATAGAACCTGGGGACCTGGGGTTGGAAATGAAGACGTGAGCTCGACTAGGATATTCTTGGGTTTAGCTTCGAATAGCTTCGAAACCATCGGCATGCGCTGCGGAGTAGTCTAACTGAAGGAGGTTACCTTGAATCATTCCCACGTTTTTTTCTCATATCTCGAAGAGGATAATAAAATGAGACTGATCGATCATGCAATGTCTTGTTAATCCTCGAATGGGGATTAAGTTCTAACTTGAGGGATGGAATAGACGGGGATATTATGAGTAATATAACCAGTATCTGGTCGTCTTTATTATTAAATCTTTGGTAGGAAATGAGGATGGGGATTAAATATTCTCCTATTACTTTCGATCATCTCCGCATTTCAAGATATGCAGTTAGCATTGCGTCGCTTAACAACACCCCGAAGTAACAGCACTAAAGCGTTAGTTAGAACAACTAGGCTATTAACTGTTGAAGTTGAAAAATAAAGCAAGTAAACGCAAGCAAGGATTCCAAGTTAACGGACCGGCCGAAAAGCGGTATCGTGTCAAGAACTGATCGTCATGTTGACCGTCTTTATAATATGTCTGACTTAGTTGTTAATCTGATGGAATTTGCTCGCGTCTAAGGAACAGCGCCGAATACTCCGAATTCTTACTTTTGCTGCCTATCGGGCACGCGGAGCAAAATCGAGATCCACTGTAAAGTTTTTCTCTTTTTCTATAAACTAGAGAAACAGTGGAATGATCAGATGGTGTTACTCCTCAAAAAATATCATAAAATCATACCGTCAATATTGTATCCCGAACCAGAACGCCTATATCTGTGGGAACTTCAACGAGTTAACTCGTTGAAAGGAGTATCGCCTTTAGCCCGATAAGTTGACAAAGAAGAGAAGAGAGCGGAGCGGCGTGGGGCTGAGTAACAAGGGTGGAGATCTCCGGAGGTCCTTGTCCTATTTGTAACTGAATGTATCCAATTGATGTACATTTATGATGTAGGGAATTGGAGAAGCTACAGGGTTACGTAATGTGAGGCTAATAATGATCCAAGTATCCTCGTAATTATGTACATAATTGATTTGCAACCTACAGTTACTAAGTTTGTCTAGGATACAGCTAGGATAGTGGGGAAATATTTCACCCGTATCGCAACTTCATTTTCGACCGAATTTTTAATTCTTTAAATTCTATTCTCCAATTTCATTAAGGAAACATACATACATTTATACCTAGGTACATATTATATACGTGTCTGTCGTGTTCGATTTCAAGATGTTCAATGTTGCATTTAAGGTACAAAGTTACCTAGATTAAAGTACTGGATGCTCCGAACTGCTGTGATACCACGCCACAAATCCCTGAGATAGATCGTGACCTTAAAAAATTTCATCGCTGATACGTCACATTTCAACCGCCTCTTATTCATATCGCAGGAACAGATCCAAGTACATCTACCAATTAAAAAAAGATACAAAATACATTTTTGCATAATAACAACCGCCAATGCCGTTATTCACATTTCAAAAGATACCAAAAAAAAACTGACCTCCGAACACGGGCAACGGTCATTTCGATATTTCCTAGTACTTGGACCGGTTTATCCCGCTAGTTTGAGCCCGAAACTTGAAGGACCTAGCCGCCATGCTGATGGCAGATGCCGACGGTTTTCTAATGAATAGGATCTCATAGGACACGAGGCCCGGCCCACTTAGCTAGGGGATTGGCGAAAAACGTGCGGCATCGCTGATGACCCTAAGGACTTCGAAACTAAGAGAAATCCAGTGTAGTGTGTGGATGGTGGATGTATATACGTATCGTTAAGTATCGTAGGTACGAATAACGGTACGTATTGGGAATCCATACACCGCGACGGTGACAAGGACGAACAAGGCCAACACCGATGAACCCCTGACTGCTAGGTTAGGTAAGATGCGAATGCGATGCACCCGCTTGTTATTCCCGGCGTTTACCGCGAAACTCTGCAGGTTCCATTATTCAATTCCCTTTCCAAATGACACTGACAAGTCTGATCCGCCTACATTCTGCACTTTACATTTCTGTAGATTATGCGCTGCATGCGTACGTACATGTATGTGTACATGCATCCATGCTTTTTTTCTTCTCAACGATAGACGGTCTTATATCGGATATTTCAGCGGAATCCATGCCTCTATCAGTGGGTCGGGCGAACGGCCAGGAAGGCTATCGGTTTCCTTCTATGTCATACATCCTATCCATACCTGACCGTCCATTGATGCCAGGGACATCTTTCCTACACCAATTGGGACGAGCTTCGTCTCCCTTGTTGTGGGAACTTTGTATTTCAAGGTGTCACGAAGTTCTATCCTCTCGCAACATGGGAGTTGATGAGTACGAATCCAGAATCCAGAACTCAGCCCAATGGAGAACGCTAGGCGCCTTGATTACTTTGTTACCTCGTTACCGCTTTGGCCTACAGGACAGATCGTCAGCAATATTATCCGACCCTGATGGACCTCAATACATCCACATCCCGCGAGAAGTACCCTTATTTCCTTTCTCTCAACTACCTACCTGACTCAAGATTACAACTAGCTAAACCTCCTTGAGTAAAGAATATTCACGGAGCGTGATGCAATTAAAACTTGAAGAGAACCAGCAAGTTGGTACTACTATAGTGTGTTTTCATGATTGGTTACTCCGCAGATCCCAAGCCTGTACTACAAGACGCCAATGCAAACTTGGACGTGGAGCCTCTACGATCATGATCCTAGGAAGGCTTGGGCTGGGGTTATACGGAAAAGAATCGGAAAAGATTTCGATTCCCCAGATTCTAATACGGTAACATAACCAAAGTTGGCCAGGTACATATGATTGCGTGCACATTGCACTAGGTATGAGGTAAGTTTGTATTCTTCTTTCTTCTTGACAGACGAATCAGATTCGTTCCAGACTTCAAGCTAAGTTGCTTGCTGGGTCCTTTGGTCCTTTTAAAAGAAGAATTTGGTCTATGGTCACAAGGATGACGAGGCTACGCCTTACCTGTTTCTCCAGGTGGTGGGCATGTGAGAAGCCGTTTTATCGTTCTAACGTTAGTCTCACGAAAGCGTTCCTTGCCGAAGCCAATAGTAGGAGACGCACGCGAACAGTTATTATGGAGACTTTGTAAAGCTACATAATAGGTTTTCACAAGGATGGATGGCATGCAGGATATTAGACCCCCGAATTACGATTGTGAGCCCCATCGGGAATCTGTGGACCGGCAGCTTTTCCCAGAGAGGAATTCATTTATGACCGGTGCAGTGCATGGCAGGCATGGTAGACAGACAATAGTATTCATGTATAATACCATTGCCTCCCCCCACCATATCCACCTCCACAAACCCATCCGACCTATCCACTCGTCCTTCATTGTAATTCAAACCTTTCCCAAAACTTCTCATGCTGTCCATAATCTCAGACTCACGATCACAAGTCGTTGCTCGGTGTGGAAGTCAGAGGTGGGAGATAGGAATCTCCCCCGTAGTCCTGCCGCCGCAAACATATACGTCTATACGCAGCTTGCAAACATCGTCAGCTCGTGACTTGCACATTCCTACGGATACTTTCACAACTCAGGGTTCACCGAAACTCCCTTAAGACATACAGGATAGCTCCTGTAATTTCAATTGAAGGACATTTTCCCATTTTATTTTCATCACAAGTCAGACTTGTGTCTCGTTGGACATAACCTTTACAACAAGATGGCTACAGAAGATATGCTCACGGGTCATCTACCCGAAGAACACGACGACTCTACCACGATGGACCCTCACTCCCCTAAACCGAGCGAGAATTCAACTTCATTAGATCCCAATTCACAATCTAAGAAGCGATCTGCCTCCACTACGGAACCCAATGGCTCGACAAAGGTCACTAAGCGAAGAGCAGCACGAGCATGTATCAGCTGTAGGAGTCGAAAAGTAAGATGCGATGTGGTTGAAGGTGCGCCATGTGGGAATTGCAGATGGGACAATGTTGAATGCATCGTTCAAGAAAGTCGTCGTAGGAGGTGAGTACCCAATTCCAATTATCCCCAATCTCATTTAATTCATCCACGTGTATCATTGATATTGCAATTGATTACATTCCTTACATTGTACTGCTTTATCATGTGTTCTCATGATTTTGTTCTTTATTGCGTCATGGTTTAAAAGTCAATTCTCCTTGTTCAGCTCCAAATCTCCAATTCTGTCTCCCCTAGCAATTTTTTTCGCCTTACCAATTATTTTTTTTTACTTTTTTGGTTGCGGCGAAACTAATACCCCCTGTCTTTTGTGTGGTACAGAAAGAATCTTTTCCATTCGAATTCCGCATCCACTTCTTCACAAAACAACTCGGCCCCGCAGAGTGCCGAGGCACAACTAAGAGCGAAGCCCGCAAATCCAGTTGCGATCGCTTCAGCTGGGGTCCCCTTACGACGAGCTAGCGAAGTCACTCAATCTTCAGCTACCGGAAATGATGTAACTGGTTCAGGCACACTTTTGGATGGTAGCTTGGAGGGTCACGTTCCTCATTTACTATGTAAGTCAGCATCATAGCTTATTGTTCATGATTGCCCTCCCTTCCACACTCCCCCGGAATTTCACATGCAAATATCACTACCCTGTCAGCAACGAGTCAACCCCGGACTACATATCAAGTATTCCTAGTTGAATCATGAAAAACTTACATGTGCTTCAGATCAACGATCAGGTCTACGTCCTGATCCAACATTGCTAGCCACCCTTCAAGCTAGCAATACCGGGTCTAAGTATCCTAGTATCTGGCCAAATCCAAACACATGCCAAACACCAAGCTCGGCTTCTGGACCCGGAGCTCTGAGGACTGCACAATTCCTGAACTCGCTCGAGGAGCCCGATGCATCATCACAGTTGCCTGCCTTCGTCAGACCGCTTCCACCCAAGATTGCTCCCGAGGATGTGAGCTATCTTCATACCAAGGGGGCGCTTACGCTACCGAGCCCGAACCTTCAGAATGCACTACTTACTGCTTATGTGGAGTACGTTCACCCTTACATGCCTCTCATTGAGTTGCATGATTTCCTGGGGTTGATCAACGCTCGTGATGGATTATACGGTCAGATCAGCTTGTTCCTATACCAGTCTGTTATGTTTGCTGCGACCGCCTTCGTCGATGCAAAACATCTGAGGGAGGCTGGCTATGCCAGTAGGAAAGCTGCTCGGAGAGAATTTTTCTACAAGGCCAGGGTAAGACAATTTATTCGGAGTTTAATGCACACTTATTAACAGATGCAGCTTTTGTACGACTTTGATTACGAGAGCGATCGCCTTATCCTCGTACAGGGATTATTACTAATGACATATTGGTATGAGACACCGGATGACCAGAAAGACACTTGGCATTGGATGGGGGTCGCGATCTCACTGGCGCACACTATCGGTTTACATCGGAACCCGGCGAACACCAATATGACACTGCGAAAACAGAAGCTCTGGAAGAGGATTTGGTGGTCATGCTTTATGAGAGACCGCCTAATTGCCCTCGGCATGCGACGGCCTACGAGGATAAAGGATGAGGATTTCGATGTTCCGATGCTGGACGAAAGTGACTTCGAGATTGAGCCGTTAGCGGACGACGTTCAAATTATTAGCCCCGAGTGCACACTTATGCGCGATGTCATGATGCAACAAGAACTCGCCTTGATGTGCATTGCCAAGGCGAAACTCTGTCTTTGCATCAGCCACATGTTGAAGGCGCAATACTCAGTCCTAATTAGGGATAAGTCGAGAGCTGAGAACACCACAAACAGTACGATGATGTTATTCCCGAATAAGCAACTTGATAATGTCGAGACCGTCAACTCATGTGATTTGGAGCTTGTGGCGTGGGTACAATCACTACCAGCTTGCTGTCAATACAGACCATTGTCAGCTCTAGACCTCAAGAACGGTCGCGCCACGATTGCTGTGCAACGCAACCTTTTACACATGGTGTATTATACAACTATTTCAGCTCTCCACCGACCTCAATTCCTCCCATCGTCACCGACACATGCGCCACAGACACCAGCGCAAGCTCAGGATATGTCTCGTACGAGGGTACGCGACGCAGCTGCGCAAATTACGCGTATGGTCGCCGATTTGCACACACTACGCCTCGAGAAGTACCTACCGACAACCGGTGTTACGGTGATCCTCCCCGCTATGATCATCCACCTGCTCGAAATGAAGAACCCACTTCCCCAACCTCGCGAAGTTGCTATGCGCGGCTTCAAGACGTGCATGAAAGTCATGGAGAAGCTACGCGACATTTACTCTGCAGCTGACTATGCAGTCGCATTCCTAGACGCCGCATTACGCAAGGCCGCAATTGACCTCCAGGCCGCGCAGAACCAGGCTTACACTGGTGGCGTATTGACTAATGTCAAGACAGCCCTTTCGCAATTCGCGACCACGAACCCGGCACCAATTGTCGAGAACCTAGCCACCCCGCCACCGGAGAACGCGCCCTACGCTACGCCTCAGGAAGCGAGCATGTTCCAAAAGCAACCACCTCCGACACAAACATTCGTACCACCTACCGAACTGATTACCACCACCGTGAACTCACCACCACATACCGAGCGCGATGTCCTCACACCCAGCGCCAGTGGATCGTCAGATGGACATGCCGACCCTATGAATCTAGAAATGGACTTCGACAGTCTGGATAACCATGATGAGTTTGATTGGAATGCGCTTACGGGCACGAATATCGACTTCGATCAATGGCTACAATTTCCTAACGAAGGTGGTAAAAACGCTGGGGGGTTGGTGACGATGAGTGATATTGATGGCTCGGCGAATTTCAATTTGGGGATGTTGGATGGTGTTGGAGTTGGTGTGGGACAAAATGTTGTCGCGTAACGTGTTACAGGGGTAGGGGTTTGAATGAGTGATGATTGTTATGAGGTGGGATTTCAATTCTGGTTCTGGGCCGATGGATTTTTTTTTCCGTCGGTTCAATGAGGGTTTCTTATTTTTCTCTTCTTGACTACATAGATAGGGTCATGGATGGGTATTTTCTCATATGGGCTATCATGGGCGTTGGGTCAAAAGTCTTTGGCTCCTTTCTAGGAGACATACCTGGATACAATTGGCGCTGGTTTTGGTTTTGGTTTGTTTACCTTGTTCTCTATACCCCATTTGTGAGTATGGAATAGGGGGTCGAGTTTACTTACATTACAATAGACGTCGGGTAGATATTCGGGATGGACTCGATACATGACGTTCGGTACCTAGTTGAATATATTGATATGTCGTTTACATTTTAGATCTGTGCCTTTGACTTGAATTTTGTTTGATGATATATCCGAGATGTCGGTATCTACTATTTATTACGATACCTCAATCGATAAAGGTGATATTTGTGCTACGAACGGTTCGTACTAGCGGCGGAAAGAGGCTCTCATCTTAAATTGACTTGGGTGATCAGGGGTCCTTCTGCGCGTCATCGTTGCCCAGCGGTGAAGGTGCCATGGTATGGGTGCGTTGAATAATTTGCCCTCATTTTCATCAATGAATCGCAAATTATACTTTATGTATAGTCTCTTTTGTATGTATGTTAAAGTATATTAATATTTAAATCACGTACAAGAACGCGACTGCATTAATAAAGGTCTCATACTAAATAGTGCTGTGAGATGTCTCGGCCTACCTCATCTCGAAGTTTATTAGGGAAGGGTTTAAGTGAGAAAGGGTATAATAGACCAATTATATCATAATAAAATCAAGTTGGTCGCGACCGGAGCAACCTTCTTTTTTAATGAGTTTAATTGGGGGTACACCGCGCTAATAAATGGTTGCTGGGGTGGTTATTGATTCGCTAGTGGATGCTTCTTTTAGTGCGGGCAAACAAGCCAAGAGGTACCTAACGAGTCAACTGGCGGATAGTGGTACTTGCCCATATGAAACAGAAACCCGCCTAGTGGTATCGTATCGTTGTTGTATCGTACCTACCACGACTTCAACCGTCATTTCTTTCGCTTTCAACTTCTAAACAGTCTCATACTTTTTCCTCCTTCCACCACTTTTACATAGCATTTTCTTTCATTCGTTTCTTCTTCTTTCTCTTCCCTTCATATGCGCTTGTCTACCAAATTTCAATGATTCATTTGGTAAACAGCGCTTCGTTGCTACTTTGTTAATTTTTTCTCTTTCTATTGAATTTTAGTTAAATCGTACATTACCTCCGTAATCCGTCGCTCCTTTGAAGTAGAAACCGGAAACGAACAGTCAGCGCAATACACGTCGCAATATACCCACTTCGGTGTCACACGTCACCAACGGTGATCAACCAAACTTAAGAAAACTGCAGGACACTTGCATAGCCTACACAGCACTGTCCTGTGCTGAATCCACATTCGAGCTACTTAGTACCCTGCTTAGCAGCCCTTTCCTGCAGGTAACCGGAAAAAACTGAGTCCCTTCTCTAAACCACCAGCCACCTTCCAGAATCGCAACGACCGACCCAGATAAATCGTCCCTGCTTTGTGTCGCCGGCAATAGGGAAAGCGAATTCGTTGGGAAGGAGGTAAGGTGCCTAGGCATCAAGAGTGAGACAGGGTGCTAAGGTTGTCAATTCCGGGGAGAAGAGGGTGATGAGAGTTTGCAAACAACGAACTCAATCGCCATTGTTTTTCGTCATGGAGGACCGAATCTAAACTCCACATCTCGTTTATCTGTGTCGACGGATATAATAAATATCTGGGCTGGAGATGCCTGTCGCACAACCCGCGGACTCCCGGATACTAACCTATACAGCAACCTACCATGGCCGACCAACACCCACGCGTATCTACGCCCATCGGCTCGAGAAGCGCCGTCCGACGACACCTTCGCTCGAGTTCCCAATCCCCGTCTCGTCATCAACCTCGCATCGGTGACGATTTGCTCTCCCAACTTTCCCCTCATGCCGCAGTCGATGCCCTTCGATCTCCTACCGGTCCCTTAAAAATATGTATGGACCGCGCCTCAGCCTCCGAGCAGGCTTTTGCTATGCGAACCGCAATTGCTTCCAAGAAAATACGCGACTGGCTCGATGAGCTCTCGAGCTGGCCATGGCCCAAAGAAAATGGCTCAACCGGCTTCGAGATGCCCCCTTCTAAGAGGAGGAAGCTCTTCGAACCAGATACAACGCAAGATCGCAAGGAAAAGTCTTCCGAATCCGATTTGCCCTTTGATACCGACTACCTTGGCAGCTTACGCGCTGCTGATGTGGACCGCTATGAGCTACGGGTGGAGCAGATACAGCAGGATCTGGATGATCTAGATCTGGAGGAGATTAAGAATCAAGTCCTACACAACCACATCCTGCCTCTATCTCGACCTAATACTCCCTTCGAAGGCGACCGCTCCGCCACGCCTGGCTTGACGCTTGCGAAGATGGAAGACTTGACTGCGGCCGTCACCGCCATTACAGTACAGGCTTTGCCTAATTTATCCAAGCTATCAAGGCTTCTCAATACGTGGACTGTTCGATTGCTTGTGCTACGGAAAGTCCCGTCCGTACTCGTAATGATTGAGGATGCTGAAGTTGCTCTTCGCTCTGGCTGGAGCGTAATCGCATCTGACGAATCTGGTCTAACAAAACCTAGCGGACAAGATGGCACTAAAGAAAAGCGACCTAAGCTTTCTAAACAGGAATTCGACGTAATGAAGCGCGTTCTACAGCAGAAGGTTACGAAACCCGGCCGAGCCCTAGACTATATGTTGGATACATTGGAAGGGTCAATGGACACTCTACCCGATGAGTGGTTAGATCGAATGGAAGAAGTTGAGCGAGACTACGCTATATGGGAAACAACGGCGGAACGACAAGTCCTGGCAGGCGAGAAATCTAACAACGTTTCTCGTACCGAGCCAGAAACACCTCGATTAAAGATCCAGGTCCACGGACCGAGTCCGACTAAGGATCTACCGGAGGAATCAGATGCCAACCAATTCGCGTCGCCTCCAACACCGTCCGATTACTCACCGGAAGTTACTCCTTCTAAGGGCCCGATAACCTCTCATCCGGTACTCTTAAAACGTGCACTTGGCGGACCTTCCCAACGGGGCGCGGTCAAGTTTGCGGTTAACGAACCGACCAAGAAATCTGTTCCCCAAACTAATAACTCGAGCCGGCGTAGTAATGGTTCGGAGTCTATACTTAAGGATCGAAGCATTAGTTACGATGGTACACGTGAGAAGCGGCCAATATCATCCAAGACTGCCACCCCTAGGTCGGTTGGCGTGTTGGCTGATTCACCACCCTTGATTCGGACTAAGAAATCCGTTAGTCAATTGGAGAAAACTAGCAACGCGCAAGCGACCAGGAGCGGGGAGACGAGTCCTGTACTGGGCGAAGTCGACCAGAACATTATTCGCAACCCTCCCCAAGAATCTAAGAAGCTTGGTGTTAATGATAAGGAGTCAGCTGTGGATGATGATATTGAGTCCTCAGTCCTAGAGCCTTCAATCTTAGAGCCAGTTGATGAGGAAGGAGAGGATCTTGAATTACCCCCCGCTCGCCTTAGAGAGCGCAGAAGTAGTGGGGGGTCTTTGGCTTCTACAGTCATACATGGCCCGCCCACTGGTTTGTTCGGGCGGTCTGACGATATGCTCTCTCGAGAAGGGTCTATGGAACCAGATCTGCCACGTTTGGCGGATCCCGATGAGCCGTTCTCAAGCGATGCTATTAGTCCTCCCAGCTCACCGCCATTGCGGTACAAAACGCGGTCTACGTCGGTCACGTTTAAGGATGTTCCCGATATAGCCACGTTGCCTGAGGCAGACAGTACCCCACCACGAAGTCCCCTTGAACCTCCCGAGCTCTTTGATGCTGATACTTCGTTCGACAATGACAGCCTACTTGGCAGCCCTGGCCGTATGAGCACGGTTAGCTCTCTAAGCGAAGATGAACATCTCCATCAACAAATCAGTGAACTCCTTGAGACTATCCCGGCTAAAATCCGTTTTAAGAGGACGCCTGGTGTCAATCTGAACCCACCCGATTTTCAACTTCCCCCGCGACCTAAATCCAGGACAGACAACACGCGTCGCAGCAATTCCAGTTTATCTTCACGCGCTGGAACACCATTTTCCCGCAGCGGAACTCCTTCGTTCATGCTAGCACCAGCACGAGACGGCCGCCCAAGGACAAAGAGCAGTCAAGGAATTAGGGTTTACCACTTGAGCCGGCCTACAGGCGAGCCTCCGCTGAAGCTACTTGTCCGCTGCGTTGGAGAACATGGAGAGCGAGTAATGGTTCGCATCGGGGGTGGATGGGCCGATTTGGGCGAATACCTTCGCGAGTATGCTTTACATCATAGTTCGCGATCTAAAGGTGAAGGAAAGGTAGATATTAGAGATCTACCGGCCGTGCCCAGCGGCCTAGGGTCAAGTCCGTCAAGTCGACCCGGCTCCGCTTTAGATACTCCTGCTACGCCCCTCGTCGTCCGGAAAACTAGAAAGAGTCTGGGCGAAGAAGGGGCGCCAAGGTATCCAAAGACGCCATTGTCCAATGCAAGGCAAGAGGAAGATACACCACCCTCCGAGTCATCAGCTAGGTCGCGCGCCTCGTCGCGTATGGATTGGGATGAGGAGGATAGTGCACTTGGGCTAGCTGGTCCAAAAGGCAAGAAAGTCGATATGAGTGACGAGAGTCGAGCTTGGGTCGAAAGCGTGAAGGAGAAGGTCCGCATCGCTAGTGGCGAGCGGGTAGCCCCTCCAGATCAACGGTTAGACACGAAATTCGGTGAGATAGGAAAAGTCGGAGGTACGAAACGGCTGTTTAGGAAAAACTAGGGGTATCTGTACGGCCCGTAACGGACATTCTGATGTTACGATCTCAAAAAGGTGGTCGTGTATCAAGGAGGTGATACACAGGTGTTCTAGAGTCGTCACGGCGAGAGGAATATCACAGATTCGACGACGGAGACCTGGGATAGGAGGGGAATTGGCTTGGCTTGGCTTGGCTCGGTTCGGTAGCATTCCAAAGGCCGGTGTTCAATGGTTTCTATCTTTTTTTTTTACTCACAGGCGGTTTCCCTGCGAAATTCTTTAGGTCGTTTTTTTTCGTCCGTTGCACAGCACATCCTGGTGCAGAAACCAAATACCTTATTTTTTTCTTGTCGTCGAGCATTGCTTAGTCTATCAATACCCCCTTTTTGTTACTAAGTGCGGTACAAGCACAGTACAGAAAACTGAGAGAAGAACTGCATAGGAAGTCTTTTCTATACCTACTTTTGAAGAAAATTCAATTTGAGAATATTATCAAATATTTATAAGTTGTTTGGTTTTGATATGAGGTGAGTCATGGTGTGGTGTGATGGGGTAGGTTGATGCCTATTTTCCCCATAGTTGACCCAGTGTAAATGATGGCCACGAATCCTTCTTATGGTAGAAGGTCTGTGCCGTCTAGGCAGGAACTTAGAATCGACTGAGACTGGTCTCCGATTCTACTACGCATATTCTCGATTCACTTGTTCAAGGTGTATAATATACATAGGTAGGTAGTATAAAATAGCTTTCAATTGACCATTAATATGTATAATAAATCGTAAATTTGTCTTGTACATCTAAACTACTTGGGTAGGTAATTATGAGGACCGCCCACTTGGTATTGCTCTCAACCGAAGAATCTACGCATTTCCAGCGCACCAAGTGAACGACCGACGCGCTCTTTTTGGTGAATGTCACAACAATGTGTACAACTGTGAGGCAGAATATTTCTGTTTTACCCTACGAAGAAAGTATAGTCCTTATCATTCTGGCTTACAAACCCCATTTTCTGCCTCATCTCTATCTTCTCATGCACAGACACATATCTATGTTTCTCTGTGGGACGCTATTAGACGTCTAGGACAATCCCCGTCACATGTATATCTGTAGCGGGCCGTGCCGTTTGCCACGGCAAGCTCGGGAGGTTGGGGGGGTTTATGGTATGCTGTAATACTCTTCTAGTGATGTGGCATGCCACGCGATCGGCTTCTGGTCGACGGTTGGAATTTCTTGTTTGGTTTTTTTTCGGCCGGCGGGATTTGATGAGGGTCTTGGCCACTTTCCTCTATCCTTGAGGTGGATGGATTGTATTCGAATTTGCGTTAATAATACCTAAATGGTTGTTTCTTTAGAGACGAACGGACGGGCTACGTGTTGGGGTCGTCACTATGTCGCCGGCCGGACAGATGCAGATTGCTATTATCGGAGCGGGGGCCTGCGCATTCAATAAGGTACGGCACGTAGATTTTTGTTGGGAGGACTGTTTACACAAATCCAGTTTGTTGTTGTCGCGGTGGGTGCCGTTTACCTAGAATTTACAATATTACTTGACTGCCTATCTCGCCATGGACAGGTGGTTGATGCCCGTGTTTCCGCACCTCTACTCGCAACTGCTTAGTTCCGTGCTACTTACTACGTAGACAGGGGCAGAGGAAACCGGCAGTTCCTATTGCTGAGATCTTCTGCACCGGGACTCGTTACGATTGGGCTCGTGGTTCATAATCTTAGTTGCCATGATGGAGTCCTGTCGTAAAAGGTAGATGATTCCGCCGGAACGAACTCCCTCCTGCGAGAAGGGTCTTCGAGGATGGTGGAAAGCCTTAGTTTCTATCTATTCGTTATTATCGCCGAAAATACCTAACCGTCGTGATAACCGGGTTCAATCTAACGAGCGGAACATTATCTGTTTCCTTCCAATTTGACAGTTCATGAAAGAGAGTACGGCAGTAGTGGTGGTGAGCTGTCTTATCACGCCAAGGAGTGTTACGGAATAGGAGCCGGACTCAATAGGTAAGTGTCATGATGCCTAGTTAAGGCGTAAGACTTGTGTTCTAGGTCGTGGTGTTCGTATCAACAGGGACACATAAATCGAACGTATTGCCACTGCAGTACAACACTAAAATAAGGCATAACTTTTTCCATCAGGTGGCACTTTTCTCTTCTTTCGTTCTCGCCCAGTTTCCTTCTAGTCCTAGTTTTTAGATCATCTGTATCACGATCTATCAACACCTAGAATGAGCCTCCGTATAGATAGGGCTTTGGACTCGATGAATCGGATATTTCGCGTCGTCTTGCATGGTTGTCAAAACTTTCAATAGGTCCACGATACCTATCGTTATGCTTTCACTAGTGACTCACACCGGAACGGACTTTACCTAATAGGCTTTTCCATTGATGCTATTCGGGCGATATCTCACGTGGCTAAAGAAATGAAACAAACGGAACCCGCATTACATATAGCCCGAGTATAACATACGGCTTGGGAGTGTAAATAAACATTTTTGACATGGAATGCACTGTTGATTTCTATATTGATACTCAGGGGCACAATGGTAATTCAGCCTCCGGACCCGGCGATCATGTTTGTTGGTGGTCTAAGATTGGTTGTCTGCCACGACCGGTCCGGTTGACCCGGCTTTGAAAAGTATGACGAGATCTATAGCCTCATACGTACGATAAAAAGGGTGGCGTCAAATAGCACTGAAGAATTTCGCGACCGACATTTTCGATCTGCTTCATGGCTGCCTGTCTAAGGGCTAAGAATCGAAAGTGTGGCAGCCATGATCTCCACAGCACGAACTACTGTCGTATTTGAAGCTTCTAAGAGGTCCCAGCACCCCGGATCTCGATATCTCCCATATTAGGTTGCATGGCATCGGAATGTAAGTCGCGGCGAATAGCGTATTTTCGTAATTATTTCAATGTCACCTCAAGCGATTAAGAAAGCGACGTCCGAGGCTCTGTAGCTGTATATAACGGAATGCAGTGAGACTTTGGGTAGCGACACAGAATTAACAGGGCGCTCCCTCGCTTCTACAGCAAGAAAACGTCACACATGTGCGACGTCGGAGTTTTGAACTGCATAGTAACCCGCAGGGTCTTTCTACTGTGCGCTGTAGTAGCCACACAGGTATGCGAGGGGCGCTCAAGAAATGCAGAAATCTAGCAAGCTACATACCTATCTGTAATTTTTCAACAAATTTTCTCTTGATAGCATGCGAGACAAGCATCAATAACAAGTTGTGTCCCGTCTTTGCTTTATACTAAAACTTGATTTCATGTGAAGACTTCTCTACTTGGCAATGATGCTCATTTCTTATGTATCTCGTCATTACTTCTCTACACACACGGAGGGTGTAATTGATGGTAACAAATATTGCGGTGTGGGACATGAACTCACATTCAACGATGGGTCTCGTTCTTTCGCGGCCCTCTCCAAAGATGCAGCACAAGATCGCATACCAAAACGTCGAGGCCAATCTGATGTTCTTTGGCAGCACAGGTCATGGCTAACAAAGTTTTCTGCTGCCCGACCAGATCATCTCGGCCTACTCCAGTTGTACATGAGACCATAAGGCGACGATGTTACAAGCAAAAAAAAGTTAATCCCACGGACGATAGCGTGCCCACGGACTCGTTGCCTCCGGCTTACAAGTTCGTGTACGTACGTGGTCAACGCCCGGACTGCTGGGTATACACCTTGATCTGTATGTATCACTATAATATAGCGTATAGCTGGGCGAGAAGGGTCTTATTTATTACATTATTATCAGTCGTACACGCATAATTAGTGCTATGCGCAGTACGACACACAGGGGGGGTTGGAAGCCCTTAGACAGCGCCCAGAAAGGCCCACTGACACACAGGACACACAGCCCACATGGAGAGATCTGGTCCACCCATAGCTGCGGAGTCAGTGCTCCCAACTTGGCTCCCTCGTTAGGTCTAGTGAGGGGCTAAGGCGACGGTCCATCTAAGCTGATCCTGATGGGGGATGTAACCTTTTCGACGACAGGTTCGAGAAAAGACCCCTGTTTCCTCACCCCGCTCCCATTCCCTTTGCAAAAAGATTGCATACGAGGCGCAGGAGCAAGTCTATCAAAATGCGGCGAACTAGTTCACGGCACTTGGGAAGAACATCTATATCGTTTTCGTCATCAGCTAAGACAGCCTGGGTTAGTGCTACAGTAGCTAAAACAGAGAGGGAAAAAGAGGAGATGCTTAGATACGGCAAGGTCCGAAGCCACTGACCTAGAGGCGTTTTTTTAGGAGGGGGTCATCTTTTTAAGACGCACTGCCTCGCTTGATCACTTAACTGTTGTCTTTAATTCACTCCATGATATGATAACAACCCTTAAACATAAACAAAGTCAACGGTTGTCTGTCCTTTTTCTATTTTCTTAGTCTGTTAATTCGAAATTACTTGCGAAAAGCCTATCGTCGGGACCCTCCCTCGGGATATTACATGAGTCCCCGTTGCAACGCCTTATGAGCCACTGTTTTCTGCAGGTGATCTCACGTTTCTTGCTTCTGCCTGTGACCTGCAGCTCATCCTAGAGAGCTAAGCCCGAGTCGGCGAAGCTCGTTCGGAGCTAGCGAAGCAGGCTGAGGGAGCAGTGCGCCTAAACTACATATCTATAATCGTTCTTCCTGCCCCCATTCATCACGCGCGCCCGAGTTGTCATGTTTCAGAAGTAGGCTTCCAATAACGCCTGTTGAAATTCACAGTATGGGTGATGTCGAAACACTCCTAAACAAGGGCTATTGGCCAAGCTCCAGGGCTAGAAGCCCAGATTCAAGACAGTAAGTAGCTTCACAACCTAATCTTTTTAGAGTGAATCGAGTCGCACCGCACGGGTCTAAATGAACCGAAATCGAACGGGCTTGCTAAGACGTAATGAACTACACAGTGCCGCTTCGACTGCGCCGTCGGGCCAATTGACCCATAGAAATGTAACATCCGCGACCAAGATACCTCGAAACTTCAGGCGTTCGCGGAGTTATCCACCGCCTCCGAGCGTCGAGGACGAAGTCGCATCACTCGCAAAAGAGTACAAGTCAGCGGACTCCGAACTAGTTAACGAGGAAGCGATACATCGTGGAGATCCTGATCAGTACCCTATTTTGCTTGAGGTGCATGAATTCAATCCGGAGAGACGTTTTGTTCTAGTATCAAACACGTCGGATTCTACCGACGATTCATCGGATAGCGCCAAGAGGGTGCCTCGGCGATCTAAATCTAGGGCACCAAAGCCAGAACGAGAACGAGAACCAAAACCAGAGTTAGAGCCAGAACCCGACTTTTATAAAGCGAATACGGGCCGCAAGTATGATACTCGTGGACGTTATGAGGATGATTCTGAAAAGAAGCGGGATATAGAGCAAGGGCGTGAAAAGCATCGGAGTAAACTTGACCATCTACCCGCCATAGTCACCGATGTCAAATCCGATCCGCGGCCCTCCGACTCAAGGCGACCTAAATCTACCGCAAGGTCCGAGAAAGGTGGCGACGATTATTTCTCTCCTCGCCATAACTCTCGATTTCAGAATGGAAATATGCTGTCGCCAGATGTCATAGAGCACGCAAGTAGAGGAAGAGACCGGGCGTATTATCAAGGCGGATCTAACCCTTACGCCCAAGACCGCACTCACTCAGCTCATCCAAACAGTCAGTATGAGAAATATGAGAAGACATCTCGAGATGACAGGAGGTATAAGGATAAGCCTCTCAAAGCAGCTCAATCGGCAAGCCCTAACCATCATAAACGGCGCTCTACTGCAGACCTCCCTCAACAAGCGAGAGCATCTTCAAGAGTAGATTATGAGAAACCTCGTCAATATGCTGAACCTCGGTCTCCCAGACCCGACCGGAATGTTTATGTGAGGTCCGAGCGGGATACAGCTTCGCAGGTTTCATCAAGTTCCACAGAAAAGCGAGATCCGCCTGCTTATGGCCAATACTACTCAAGCGACGACGAGATACCTCATCAAATTTCGTCCCGTCGCCGACGAGAATCAGCCCTGCCTGATAGGTCCAGACCGCGCCCTCAAACGCCAACGGAGGTGAGGTCAAGCGACAAGCGAAATTCGCGTGCACCTTCCCCACTTCCATCTCCGAGGGTATCCCAAATCTATGAAAAGAACTCAAGATCTTCAAGTCCGCGCAGTTCTACATTCCCGAAAGATATTAGATTCTCGCGAAGCGAACAGCGTGCTCAGCAGCCACCGATATCCCGAACATCCACGGGTAGATCTGTGCTTGAAGCTGCACCAGTAATACTTCCAGCCGTTGTCGCAGCAGGGACCGTGGCAGCAATTGGCTCAGGCCACGGGAGCGACCGTCACAAGTCGGCAATACCCTCACCACCTAGAGCAGAATCGCTTCATTCAGAACCACGATCATCAAATTCGGCGTTATCATCAAGTCCTCGGAAACACGCTCGACAACCATCGGCATCAAGTTCGGTAGCTGATATGCCTAAAACAAGTCAGCTTATTAGTATGTACAACATACGTTACCTCGACGAGGTCCAAGCCGGCAGGCTCCCCGAAATGCATCGTTGTCCTCGTAGACAAGCCGTTGCGGGATACGTTGATTGGCTTACATTTCCTCGCTGCGATAACTTCAATATTTGTCCGTCATGTTACGAGGCAGCATTTTCCAATACGGAATTCGCGCACCAATTAGTTCCAATACCATTCCGCGCCGCGGATCGGGCTATAGCCTGCGACTTTGGAACTTCGCGATATTACCACATAGCATATTATTTAATTAGCAAATATAAAAGGGCGGACTTGAGTTTATTCCGAAATATCGCAAATATCGCTGCGAAGGGTCAGCCTTGCACTGGATCCCGAGAATCCATTGGGATATGGTATTCTGTGAAAGATCCGAGGTCAATGCACGCTATTGAGAGCTTCACTGTCTGCCACACTTGTGCGAAGACAGTCGAAGCTTTACTTCCAAATCTAACAGGCCTATTCGTTCCTATGGATTCGCCCGCTGAACCTACGAGAGGCGTCTGTGCGATGCACCAACAGAATGAACGCAGATTTCTATTTTACTTCGACCTTCTAGAAGCAGCATCCGATAAAGCACTTATCACCAAGAGCACACCCGACGTTCAGGCCCTAGCTGATAGGATCCGCGACCTAACAGCGGTGCCGGAGTGCACCAAAGACCAACCAGTTCATAACGGGAAATTTTACACAATGCTTTCAATTCCTAAATTTACGGTTTGCGAGGAATGTTTCGGAGAGGTGGTCTGGCCTATGATCGAGAATGATAGCGATTCAATCGCAGCCAATTTCCACAAGAACCCGCAGAAATTCACAACAGCTTCTTGTCAATTGTACTCCGAGCGCATGCGCGAGATATTCAAGTGGGCCGTCAAGCACGGCGATATAAGGTATCTCGAAAATAAAGTCCGAGAACGCCAGATCAAGGAGCAAGAATACTACGCTAGTGTCGTGGGCCTCGATAGGCAAATTCTCAGTCCCGAATGGGTTGACGCTGAGCTAAACCGGGCGAGAAGGGAGTGGCAGAGGTGGGAATAAGGTAACATAGAGGAGCTGGCGCATTTATATAGACTAAAGGGGCAAGAGGTTAGGGGTTATGGATATATGGAGGGGTATGAGATGATACGAAATTATGCGCGATAATGGATAACGAATGGGCTACCTAGGAATATAGTGAGTGATGAGAAATGAGATATGGATACGGCAAAATTCTAGAGATGGCTTATGAGTGGCGTTCATATGGTCATGTTCTCAATTTTCATCGTGAAAGCTATCTAGGTACTATTACCTGCCTATGAGATTTTCGCACAGCCCCCATACTGTTCACTTATCCAGGAACGCGTTCAGCGGTTTCCACTCAACTGCTGCGGCCAATCAGCCGGGCAAGTCCCCGTGCAGGGGATTCCACTATCGGCCTGGTTCTGGATATTGCTGCAGAGATACTTCGGCGTGGACTTTCCATCGAGGGTATCGATATGGACGTTCTCGAAGCTAAACCCAGAGCAAGGGTTCGAGGCGCTGCAGTGAATGGCGGAAGCGATGTTGTATCGCGCCGTACCCGTCACATTGATCCAGCGAACATCTGAGATGGGCAATCGGCTCTGGTCGCAATTGTGGCCCGTGTAGATGCAAGGCGTCACGTAGATGGGCTGGTTCACGTTCTCTGCTTTGATGTTAGAGAAGGTGATGTTCTTGACACGACCCGTTCCAGAATATGTCTTGATCCATGCTGCGTTCGAGCTGTGCGTGCAGGTGATGTTGTCGAAGACTACGTTCTCAACGATGTCGGCGACGTTGGATGGGTTGCCGAGAGATCCGATGACGGCGCAGCCGGATTCGTAGCAGTGCACGTTGTTTACTTGGATGTTGGTGCTGTTGCCCTTGACGGCTATGCAGTCCTGTAGCGGGAATGTTAATTCACTAGAAAATATAACCGCAAGAAGAGGAGAAATGAGGCGCTTACATCACCGCAGGTCACAGTCCAGTTGCTGATAAAGACATCCTTCGAATTCCAAGTATCGGTACCGTCAGTGTTAACGGTGCTCCATTGACTGTTGCTTGTCGAGTTCATGTCCAAGTTTGTCATCGTGATATTCTGGCTGTAGGCAACGAAGGTGTCTATAATTTTGTTAGTCTCCATATCCAAATGCGCCACAGGGGGAAATGTTACTGACGCCAGAATTGACTCTGTCTCCACGTAATACCATCGATCAGAACGTTTTTGGCGTGCCAAAGCGTGAAGCTGATCGGTCGTCCGGCCTGGTTGCTTCCACTGCGGTTTTCGTCATACCAAAGTTGGCCTTGGCCGTCGAATAAGGCTTTACCGAAACCACGGAATGTGATATCTTGACCACCAACACGCCAAGCCGTAGATCTATAAAATCAGTAAGAATCGCTATAGTGGTTTGAGGATCTTCACGCACCTTTGAGCATACTCGACACCGATACTGTTACGTAACCAGTACTGGATATCGGAGGACCATCGTAAAGTACCATGGATCTCGACTTCCACGTTATTAAGGTCCTTGAGGTCCATTACCTGCCCGATATGGAACAACCCTTCCGTCAGAATAACCTTGCCATTCTTTCCGCATTGCTTGAATGCATCGAGGATCTGCGGTGTGTCATCCGGTTCCTTTCCATTGCCTCCAGTTTCCAACGGTGTTACGGTACAAGTTGAACCTGTAACGTTCAGAGCCGCCGAGGCGCTACCGACGAGTGCCAGCAAGGCGGGTAAGATGATCGCGGACTTCATCCTTTTTTATATAACTCTTAAATTTTTCTTCGGAACAATATACTTTCCTACACCGACGAAAGAATTGCGCAATCGCCGTTCTTTTCTTGCTTTGGGAAACCAAGTCCTAAAAGAGGTGACAGCAGGAAAAAGAAATACAAATGATTGCATTCTGCGGAGAGCGGAGAGCCAACCATCTTAGTAAAGACCTCGCCAGTCAGAGGGTATTTCATACTACGCTCCCCTCAGAATTTTCCAGGTCCATAGAACCAGTAGGCAATATTGCCGCCTTGGCTCCCACGAGATCCAGCCTACCTCGGTCGAGCTAGGACAGGCGGCGAAATGGAACATTGCAACGCAAACCAGACAACGTATATTGATCTGATACTAGATTAAGAGAAAAACGTGGCATCGCTCGCCCTAGGCGAGGGTACGCTCGAATTAAGGTATGCGGATTGAGGAGAAGACGTAAGCATGGATGTTAAACTTAGTCGAGGGGGTTCGGCTAATGTCAGTTGGGGATGGAAGAAGAGGGAGTTGTTGATTAAGCGGATATTAAAAACCTGGGGTCTAGACTATCGACTTGGGTACTTAACCTAGCTGTGGCAAGGAGAAGGCATCTACGATGCGGCAAAATAATTCGATGGGAAGCTTGGGGAAAAACAAGGGGGGTCGATAGGTCACTTCCTAATACATCAGGAATATCTACTTAGGTCTCTTAATATACAAGTAGTACATAATCTATCTATTACTGGCAACTTCCCATCAAGAGATACCCTTTTCATTGGTGGAATTCAAGTCAATTTGACTATTTGGGAAAGTAGTAGATGTAACCCATTGGATATCAAGTTTGCTGGGAGAGTAGAGACAGCGACGTCACATTCCGATTCATATTTCTGTCTGGAAACTAGCAGCTATTAGCTGCCGACCAAGCAAGTAAGCAGAAAATCGTTGCAGTGCACAATGAGACAATCCCGAGAAAAAGTTGACATACCCCCTTTGTTTTTATGAAGCTACTATGGAGGGGGTTGAATTGCTTCTGGCTACAGCCAGGATTCTTTTAATTCTAGCTATGGCAAATGCTATCTTATTTGATAGCTATTTGATCATTTACAAATAACTTGCTTGATAAAGGATGCTGTCTCCATGATGTGACTCAAACCCCATGTATCCTATTGATTTCACTAATGATTTCAACCCATATGGTTGACAATCGGGAATGAGTCGATTATTTATAGGGGTGCACCTGCACTTCATTTCCCCGAGAATGATTAGGCTTCATCATCCTCGTGTGCTCTACCAAGCTTCCCTTAACGTGGGCTCTTAGGTGCTCTAGGTACGAAACCTACCATGTCTTCCAACCAAAGCCCCAGCCCCAGACAGAGCGAACAAGCAACCGTAAGCGACCAAGATCCAAAACACAAAAACTGCACCGGTATCTACTCATGCGATATCTACAAGCGAGAAAAGACTCGCAGAGAAAGACAAGCCAATAACCAATGCGTTGACTGCGGCTTAGCACTAGATGCAAATAATAGACGAAATTGGCTATGCAACCTCCACCGCAACAACAGAAGGTCATTTCACTATAAGGAATGGATGGTTCCTCTAACACCTGTAAGACCATCTGCCGCGACGCCACAGCTTCCGCTTCCAACTCTGCCTCCGCAGATTCCTCGACCATTTACGCCGAACTGGGGTCGGCAGACACCTAGAGGACCGCGTCTTAATACTACTAGTACGTATACCGGTATTTCTGGTAGTCCTGCGCGACGGCGGCCGGTTAGCCCTAGGCCGCAGGGTGCTGTCTCTGTTGGACGACAGCGGAAAGATGTATCACGATGTATCGCGAAACCAGTCCGGCCCTTCCCCTAGTTGGAGACAACAAAATTTCTCGATCGTAACGAACATGGCCAATTTTCACTCAGGTAGATAAGCGGCTTTACATCGTCACTTGAAGGGAACTTTCGAGAATGGATGGTAACATGTAGGAGGGAAAAAGGTGAAAGGGCCTTACAATGATCAGGGTAGAAGTTTGGCGATAGGAAAGTATATGCTAAGCATACGATGCTTGCTAGTAGATGGATAATCACAATTTGGAATTCTAGTTAAATTGAAACATATCGCCCTACGAATAACATGCACGAAAACATTGAAAAAATATCAAAGTTATGTTAAATCGGAATGAAAGTGTCCTTTTAGTCTATATATCGTCTATAGATCCTTATACCAGCTCAAGTGTCAATCTATTCCCTGCACTTCAGCAACTCTGTCTGAATCTATGTACCACCGACGGGATCTGAAGCCCTTCTAGTGTGTGCAAGTGTATGACGGTGTCTGCCTATATACCTATATAAAACCCAGGGATATCTTCGTATGAACGGCTTCCTTCGAGCGAAGCGTGAAAATAAAAAGGGTGCTGACCAATTATGCCAAGTTGTTGTGAAAAATCAAAAAATGAAGTAGTGCCCCTACCCATTAACGCCATCCGTGATCTTATGCATTCGTCTCCCTCTCTTCGTCATGCGGCTTTCTCATCTAGCATTTAAGGGGGTCGTAAATCTTGGATTTTATGTATTTCGTAAGGGCGACGTCGCCCCATTCTTCCCACTCAACCCATTGTTCTTCGGGTAGGGTGCTTACGCCTTCCCGACGGGCGGCCTTCATCACCTCACGGCAGACGACGACGCTGGCGTCCCGGACGCGCTCGATGCGGGGGTAGATCAATCCCTTGTGGATCTCCTCGGCGTTGAGGGACTCCGATAGAGAAGAGGCGGAGATGTAAACCATCTCGTCGGTGATTCTGGATGCCTTGGAAAGGATGGCACCAAGACCTAGACCGGGGAACACGTAGACGTTGTTACCCTGGTTGGGCCAGTAGGTAACGGCGTGGTCTCCGGACTTGACGGCGAACGGCGAGAAGGGAGATCCAGAGGCGAAGATGACGGTTCCATCCGTCCACTGGACAGCCTGCTCGAACGTGCACTCGGCCTTGGTAAGAGGGTTGCTGAGAGGGAATAGGATGGGTCGTCGGCCGGAGCCACCAGAGTCGACGGAGGCCTTGAGGGCGCGAACGACGGACTCGGTGAAGACACCAAAGGTGGCAGTGAGACCAACTAAGGCGGAGGGTCGGACGTATTCGATAACTTCCTCGAGGGTGCGGAATTGGTGGCCACCGTTGTCCGAGCGGGCGAAGTACTTCTTGTGCTCGGCTAGCTTGTCACCACGGTCAGTGGTGACGAGACCCTTGGTGTCAACCAGCCAGAACTTCTCCTTAGCAGCTTGCTCTGAAAGACCACGGCGAGTGTAGTATTCGACCATCTGCTTGGCAACACCGACACCGGCAGAACCAGCGCCCATGAAGACTAGGCGCTGCTCCTCCAGAGGAACACCGGATAGGTTCACGGCACCAATGTAACTAAGGAAGTGTAAGTAAAATTGTCGATGTCATGAGATGATGAAATTCTTACCCAGCCAGAACGACGGCACCAGTTCCCTGGATGTCATCGTTGAAGCACTTGTACTTGTTGCGGTAGCGGGTCAAATAGTTGAATGCCTTCTCAGTCTCGAAGTCTTCGAATTGAACGACCATGTTGGGGTAGACCTCAGTCGCGGCCTCCATGAACTCATCCATGAACTCCTGAGCGACAGCTGGCGAGGGACGCCTGGCTCGGAGGCCCAGGTACAGTGGGTCCTTCAGATTGGTCTCATTGTTGGTACCGCAGTCCAAGACGATGGGGAGCGTCTTGCTGGGGTGGATACCCGCAGCACCGGTGTAGAGAGCCAGCTTACCGATCTAGGAAATTTGGGGTCAGCCACGCAGCTCAACGGGCGCTAATGTAGGCCAAGATGAATGGGGGTGTGTGCGTGCGTGAGTGCGAGTAGGAGAAAAAGGTGAACTTACGGAGATCCCCACACCATTTACACCGAGATCACCCAACCCCAAAATACGAGATCCGTCCGTTACCACGCAGATTTCAGGGTCTGGGTAAGGCCAATTGCGCATGATCGTCTTGATGGAGCGGCGCTGCTTAATTGAGATGTACAATGCCTCTGGGCGAGTGTAAAGGGTCGAATATTGCAAGCAAACATCGCCAATGGTTGGGGTGTAGACGAGAGGCATCAAATCGCGAACATTGTCGATGAGCACTCTGTAGAAAAGGTCCAAGTTTGTATCCTTAAGAGACGACAAATATAGGTATTTGTCGATGTTGGTCTGTCTGGTGTTGATCACCTTCATGCATCGCGCAACTTGGGTCTCAACGCTCTCCATTGCGTGTGGTATTAAACCTGTGAGGTTCTTTGATACGCGCTCTTCTGGGGTAAAGGAGAGACCTAAATAGCTTAAGTATCAGCGCACGAACAGGTGGGAACTAGAGTTTATGTATGAGAATAGTCCGGAGGTGTGTATTACCTTTATTCCATAGAGGTTCTCGGAGTACTTGGTAGCCACCAGCGGCGGACTGCGGGATGTAGTCTGTACTTCGGTATTGTTGAACCTCGCCGTAGTGGTTCTGTGCGTAACCTCGAAGGCCGTCTAGTGCAGCCATTTTCATTTGTTCTTCAATTGCAGAGATGTCGACGGTGGACATTGGGTTAAGTGAGGATTGGCGCCTTTGTAAAGAAAGAGAAAGACGTTTGCTAGAGACGGAAGAATGCGAAGAGCGCGCGGAAGCAATAGAAGAGGAAGGAGAAGCTGAACGGGGCGTAGATATATCTGAGCTGGCGGTACTATAAGTGCTAAACGCCATTGGACGTCTCGGTGACGGGCGATGCGGAAGTAATAAAAAGCAACGGTTGGATGTTGGGCTGATGGGGTAAGACGGAGGTGTAGGACTAATAGAGGACAGTCCGATAAAGCTAGGGCTATCAGAACTAGAACTGGAACTGGGTGTATACAACGTGGAATACAAGGTAAACGGAGGAGGAAGAGGCGCAGATGACGGCTCCCACTTTCGGAATTCACTACCAGTAGTGCTGCAAGAGAAAAGTCCGGAATGCAAGGAACTAGGTTTAGTTGGGCGATGGTGGTGTGTCTGCTGATTACTGTCCCGGCGAGTATTCGTGTGATCTTTTCTACTTGTATTATTGCCGTTGTATTTAATCAAAGTCCGTCCGGTTGCGATGTCGTTGACCAGGACACGCGCAGGCGACGACTGGCCTCTTAATAATGGCAAAGTGGTCCTAATGTAAGGCGGACCGAGGACCCTTGTTCGAGATGCCTTCCACCTCGTACTCAGACCTCTAACTCTTGCCGCTCTTGTCATTGGGCTGCTCACACAGCTTACACTAACACGGAGTCGTGCAAGTTGTGACAAGGGCGAGCCGTAGTTTCGTTGGGGTTTCATAGGGTATCAAACACTAGGTCCAGATCGCTGTAGTATTTTTCTTGTTAATGACCCAGGGGTACGGTATTAAAGGAGGGATGGTGTACCGGCTGATCGGCAAGTTACGGAACGAATTATGGGAGAGACACAGAGAAGAATAGGTAGAATTGCCCAATGTACCTTGCGTATTGGAGGTATCAATGGGCACAGTGGTACCAAGATTTACCAATCCCTGCGTCCAATGGAAATATACGCATAAGAGGGTTGTCTCGATGTTGTAGTAACGTCGAAAAAAATCGAACAAAAAAGTATGTAATTCAAATGAGGATCGTTCCAAAACTAGCAGTTGGTCTAGGCTTAGGCTTATCGTGGAGAAACGGCAGTCGCTATTAATGGCGACAGAAAATAGAGATAGGATGGAAGAAGGATTCGAAGTTGTAATTCAGATTTACCCAAATCCCCGAATTTCTTTTTTTCTTTCCGTCGATGGGAGGAAAAAAAATTTGTTGGGACCCGGTAAACGATACGATAATCAAGAAAAAGGTACCTACGTATTAAATGGTATATACATGTATGTAAGAACATGAATTATATGTAATACAAAATTGTATGGATGTAAAATGTCAAGTTATGACTCGACCACCGACAACGGGAGTAGAGACATGACTACCTGAAAGATAGGTAGGTACTAGTTGCAAATAATAGGTACCTCGTAGCTGGTCGTAAAGATATTAGACGAAATTCAAAATACATGATAAACCGAATTGGGAAAGCATCGCAGCTCGTTATTGGTCCGGGGAAACATCTAGGTCCAGTACTAATTATTTAGCGGGCCTATTTTAAACTCTGTCATCCACCTCCTTCACATGCCCCCAAGTCACCAACTTCGCTAATGGTCATAAGCCGTAAGCATAGAAAAAAAAGAGTAGAGTTACGGATAGCATCTGACCAATAATTTCTACCTATTAACTGTCTGTAGAAGCGCGTGTTTTAATCTAAAGCCACTCGTGTTGATATTCTCTCTTCGCATTGGTTTTATAAAATCTCATCCTCCTCTACGAAACACCCTCTCGACACAAGCGACAGCGACATTCACGAAATTCCTTTTCGTTACATTCTTGCAACACGGACTCCGAAGAGGTTTGAAGTGATCGGATTCCCCTGATCCTTGTCGTTGCATGTCCGTCGATCCCGCAGTCCCGACCCTGCTACCTACCAGGATATAGCCAATGGGACCCTTTTTGCGTGTGCCTGCATTAAGCCAGATTCGCACATTGGGACCATCCAATGTTTCTGATTTGATTTGATAACGTACATGGAATTCGAGATTCTGACGGACCGAGTTGGAGGAGCCATTCCTTATTTTTCTTTCTCGCTTCTCAAAAGTTGGGGGATTCAAGAGAACCCCTTCGTGTAACCTCCATGAGTGGCTTGAATGGCTTACCTACTCCGTTGACGGACGGAGTCTCTACAGGGGAATTACCTAGGTATCTAAGATAAGAAAAACAAGAACGGAACGGCGAAAATAAACGGCGTGCGAGGTTCAGCGTCCATCAAGCAACACTTCTTAGCTAATTAATTGCTGACTAGTAAGAATCCATTGTCAAGTTGGAGTTATCCAAGCAAAGCTCCTTTACCAATAGTTTACCCCTTAATTATGGAAAAAAATGGATTTTGGAGACCCAATTCAGAACCAGTCCGAAATTGATCACGATATTTACAGGGTTAACACCACGCTGATGGATGGGGCTGACAGGGCTGACGAATACCGAATTTCCTTGCGTTCCATAGGTCTTCTACTGATCCTTGTAGTAGACCCGGATTCTTCCGATCTGAATGCCACGAGGTACCTTACCGAAGCGTTCCCGCCTTTTCAATCAAAAATTTTTACATTTACGTCGACTCCATGGAGTACTATGGATTTTCAATGTATTAGAGATTCCGCTTTCTACTCTCAGATGTTTTGTTTAAAACACGTATCCGATTCAAGACATATGATTCTCGTATCACGAAGATAAAAGGAAGAAGAAAACAGATCACAAAGGTACAGCGGTTGCTCTTACTACAATGTCCCTAGAATTTGAGACTTGACACCATCGCCGATTTTCTGGGGTCTTTGCATTTCGTCTGATGAGCCGCCCAGACTGCCAATACCCCTAGTCTCTCTTCTCCACGCACCAACGAGCATGGCGGCGCATGGAATGTCTCCACCAAGCTCAAACGTCGATTCACCATCACTGGGGAACTCTTTGGCTTTCCTCTTTCATGCAGTTTCGTCTCCACCCGCGCCTCTCTACGATCACCTGCAATCGAGCTTTCTCCAGACTGCGGAGATTCAAGCAATTCTAGGCTAATTTTTGAAGTCACAAGCCCAATTTGACCGCTCTCGAGCCTAATAAGAATCCACTTACTACACGCCAAGCTTCACTTGGAACTTGATCTCTCTCTTCCGTAGGGTAGGTACCCAATATCATGACTAACAAATATTAAGGTACGCGTTGCTCTGGCCGCGATCGTCACATATTTTTTTCTTAATTATGAGATCGTCTGAATTGGTTATGCTACCGTAGCCTACCTGCTACTAGGTAACCGGCTAAGCGGCGCGACCCATGTGTGTAGCCGTGCGCCACTGCAGCTCGTTTATCGCTGTATTCTGTCTCGGGAAGCACTATATCTCCTTGGCTTTAAGCTTATCTCCCATCTTTCGGTTCCTGTAACACGGCGTCGATGAATACGTGCTATTCGCTGTCAACAAGGCGAGATTCTCTCCCCATTTGTTGATGGTCTAGATAAGGACAGCCACCTTTGAGACCGGTCAAATCTTTTAGATACGCCACTTCTCCTTAATTCTACTTGAGACATACGAGAAAGCCATTCACATCAAAATCCGACCAGCCATGTCGTCATGACTATTACCAGATAGTGATCAGCATCGGCTAGGTACAAGTAGAAACATTGTTGTGATAGGCAGAATGGTCACGATGCGGCTAAATATGCTACGGAGAACCATGGACGCATTAGGCTTGGATAGCCTGAAGTTTTTTCGGTTCTAATCATACATATCATCAAGATTTGATATTGTCATATCTCAATCGTGAAATTTCTTCTCTACATAGACAAGTATTTGCATCGGCACCTTTTAGAATATCAAAGGTGATAATAAGCTTCTAGATTAGTCAACGGTCGAGACCCCTTACTATCACAAAGGATTTCTATTCGCACTTCGCGTTACACATTACCAGATCCGACCGAAATTTGGATATACCAAATCGAGACGTACGGGCATTATCTGAACGAGGCGAGAAACTGCCGGGTAACCCCAATGGATGTGACATAGGATACATTCTTATGTCGCCTTCTCATTGAGGAAAGCGAAGAGAAAATCATGGTCTCATTTCGACATAAATGATCATATAAACAGTTGTTGAGCGAGTCGACAACATACCGATTCATTTGACGGGGATGGACGTAAGAAAATGATGTAGGCAAGTAAACTTCCCGAAATGTGGTATTGAACCAATCGTATTCGATATCTCACGCGCGTACATTACGCAAGACATTTAATCTTCCCCAGAAAGCAATCTATCATCAGTGTAGGTGATATTTCCCCTTTCCTATAGGGTTAAACGTGCCGATTGACTTACATGGCCTATCAATATCAACAATTTATTCCCCACGGAGTAACATGCTCGACGTACATATTAGACACCACGGAGAAACACCTTACTCCTTTATTCACCGAACCAATCCAAGTGTAGGGATCTACGAGAAACACTTCGGTCTCAACAAAATGATAGAATTGTTCAATTCATGGTGACTAAGGACCCACGAGAACGGACATGTGCTGGGGTAATATATATGCAGGATACCGCATATCATCACACGATATATCTTCCAATTTCCGTATAACACATCAATAGGTGGAAAAGCGTAATCCCAACAATGAGGCGATATGACATCTCAACTCCGAGTGCTCTGATGAAGTAGCCACGGCCTCGCGTGCGCTGCCTAGCAGTACATGCTTTATACCGAGGAAGTATTCAAGGCTTCCCAAAGCACATAATAGCATACCTAAACGTTCCATTGGCGTACCCTCTTCTCATAGCCCGGAACGCCTGCAAAAACGCAAGTCCATCCCTACCTTGCGATATCGCGAACGCCCACAAAGAAGGCGACGATACAAGGGACCATGATATGTCCCTACGTGCATATATTAGCAATTGACCACCAACAACCGGGTTCTTGGCGATATTAATAGGCTGACGATAGATAAGCTTACCAGGTCTTCGCGACATCCTTACTGATATCAACAGGACTCCCACGGGCTTGGAACCCTGCCTTCTCCGCTAGAGAAACGTACTCGTCCACCGTGTAGAGTCTTGGCAGTAGCATGCCGTCTTCGATGGGTTTGATATCCGCGCTCTCCTGCTCGGGTGTCAAGTCGGGCGCTTTGAACCAGTCCGCGATGACCAGCCGTGAGCCCTTGCCCTGAAGAAGGGCGAACGATGACGAGAAAAAGAGCTCTTTGTTCGGTAGGTGAGATAGCGCTTCGGAGATCCATACGCAGTCGAAGGCCTCCGCCTCCTTCCCCGCCGGGCGGAAGTGCTCTAGCATTTTCTCGGCATCGAGCTCGAGGAAGCGGACCGTGCCTCCTTCCTTTCCTTCTTTACCGGGATACTTCGCGGAACCTTCTGTCCATGGGGTAGCGGTACCAATCTCAGTTGTAGTCACCTGCTTTGCAATTTGGACCTGGCGGTCGCTGATTGTGATCCCGGTGACCTGCGCTCCATGTTCCCTTGCTAGAAATCGGCTTGTGCCGCCGACACCACATCCGACATCGAGCACCTTGGCGCCGAAAGGCAGATTAGAGTGCTCGAGTAGAAAGTTTATGAGATTGACTTGCGCCTGCTCCTTAGTCTCATTGGGAGACTTGAACAAGCCATGGTGAATATGTTGTCCCCTGTCGATGCTTCAGTACACCTGTCATCACAACTTAGGTGGGTGCTTGACCGCCAGACGGCTCATCGTCAATAACAGGTAAAGAGGAAGAGGAAGAGGAAGAATACCATAAGGAGTAATAGTAATCCGATGCTATCTCGTAGTGCTTCTTGATTCTGCCTTTCAACGACTCGGAAGACTCATGTGCCTCGAAGTCTGGGATCTCATGCTGATCGCCGGGGTGTGGCCCCTCACTCGGTGGTTTAGTGCCGTCCTGTTGCATTGTTCTCGACTCCGCTCTTATATCGAATCAATTCTTATTATTTCACTACTAAATGATTAAAAAGTCGCACGGATAACCTACGACTATAACTTCCACGCTTGTGTAACAAGTTACTTAGAAAAGGGTTAACACTAAGAAGAAGGGAGTCGTTAATATGGTTTAGTTCAACGCTAGGACGGGCGACGGGGTTCATGATGCATCCCATATGCATGTTACCTCACCAACGAACGCCCGGTGCCTGCCCTGAAACACTAACACTTGTCTCGCATTTACCTAACCCAGATTTGGTTACGTCACTTTGAAGAGGTAGATAGCGGGATGTCCTTGGCCGTCTTTAAAAAATTGGGTATTCATACATTAGCTGCAATGCATATGGCTGTGAGTAGAACGAAGATAGCAATATGTTCCCCTCATAAATCTCAAGCTTCATATTCTCAAAGAGCTGTAATATACATATACAAAATGCATTTGAATTATGCAGATAGGCTTCAACTATATAGGGCATAGGTAGGTAAGTTGGTTATAAGTGGTGAGTTGCGCCGTATCAACATCTGATATCCTGTCGCATCCTTATATATACCTCCAATACATAGAGTAAAGTAAATGAAAGCAGATAAAACGCCATACTTAAACACCTCATGAGTTTTCATGTACATATATATAGTCCAGTTCCTGCATATATGCGTCGGCCGTAATAGTAACGTTCGCGTAAACAACCATTCATGGACTTTTAAAACAACGCGCACACATTCTTCCTTAGACAAATCAACATCCCCACGCCCCCAAGCGCCTCTTGAAGTGCTCGTAGTATCCGCTCCGCCCTCCGGCTAAACGTACACCAATCTCTCGCTCGCTCGGCGCCGCTCCCGAGCTCATAGGGAGGTATGATAACCCCTATGCCGCCCGACTACCCGTCTCAAAACGAGGCATCACCGGGCGTACACATAATCGTGTCTTCCCCAAGGAACCCCATAATCGCAAAAAGCGAGCCGGTATAACCCAACTCCCAATTTTCACTCTTCATCCCCCATTCTGCCCCTGTCGTCCCCCATCCGTCGTAGACCCATTCTCAAAACTCGGATACGCACCGCCCGTAAACTCAGCCCAGTCCCAGTCGAGCCCGCCCGACATCTGCCACAACTCCTGGGGCAACAGGGGCTGGTAACCTCCCGGCGCACCACCCGTAGCACCCGCGCCGTTACTACCGCCGTTAATAACGCTATTTACAAACGATGACGGCGAAGCAATTGGTTGCCCGAATCCGGTTAATTCCGAGAAATTACCGAAATCCATGGCATTTGGATCCCATTGCTGTTGCGAATTGGAATTTGAGGATGAGGGCCAAGCACCGGGCCCGTCGCGGGGAGCGGACCCGTTGGTTGAAGAAGCGGTGTTCATGGGGCTAAACCCGCCATTCGCAGCGTTATTAGCGCGGTTCTGCTCCCCATTAAACTTCGGCGAGAGCTGCGACGACACCGTGGAGGCCGCGTACCCGGGCGTCGGGGTCGCGGCCGAAGACGACGGGCGCGGGGTATGGTTCTGCTGTGAGGGAGAAGCAGCAGCGGCGGAGGCTTGGCTAATTGACGATCGGTGCGGTTCGTGGCTCTTTCGCTTGCGACGCGAGGTATCGCGTTCGGCTTTGTCGATTACGATTTTGGCGATACGCTCGAATTCCGAACATACGCCTAGCATCCGGTGCACACCGCCGGTTTCGGCTTCTTGGCCTAGTGTTGAGAGGAAGGTTACGACTAGGTTCATGAGCTTGGTGTCGGATTTCGCGCGTGGGTCGAGGGGGTTTTGCAGGATGTTGCCGAAGAGTGTCACTAAGGCAGAGACGGGAAAGTAGAGGATGAGCCTGAGAGTGTTAGTTTAAGTAGTGAGTAAAGGGAGAAGGGGTGTTACTTACCAGACGCAGGAGAAGTCGCCCTGTGGGATGTACTTTAGTAGTTGGATACTTGCTCTTGCCGCTGATGCGCATAATGCTGCCGAGGCGAAGACTCGCGGGTTCAAGGGCCTGGCGTTTAGACCCTGGATGGCGTAATTCGATAGTCGACTTGTCCAGTAACCGTGATGTATCGACATGCGGTGGATGGTGGTGAGGGCATTGTAATAGGAGAAGTGCAACATGACAACGTGAAGTATGAGAGGTGTATGAGAGGCCTTGATTTCATGTTCCGGACGGAAGTCAATCGGTATATTGTCCTTCCATGTCTCTAGCTGCTTGTCGAGTTCGCCGATAGTCTGCAGCAATTCCCCATCTGAATATTTAGTAGCCTTCGTTGAATATAGTCTCTTATAAACCTGGCTTTCGATAACCGTTAATTCGCACATCGCTCGGAATAGATTCATCTTCCCCTTTCCGTCGGCAAGGGGGATATTTCCGATATTATCCGCTGGGTCGGCATCCGGGAGCTCAACATTCATATCGTCGTCGTCCTGCGCTGGAGGTCGTCCGGATCGAAGACATAAATCTTTATCCAACATATATGCTATCCAGAATACTCGTTTCCTCTGTTCGATTTCGACCGGGTTCAGGTTGAAACCACTTCCGCGCTTATGCAACCCTATGCTGTGCGACAGTCGGATCGCTGCCGCAACGAGGAGAAATGACGGTTGTGGATTCGGGGTACCTTGCATGAAGGAAGCCATTCCGAGTAAGGCTTGTACACTCAACAAGTCAGTATTGCGCATCGTTAATTCAGAGAACACCCCAATGGCATTTTTCATATACGCCCAAGACTTATCATCCTCTTCCTGCGGTACCAAATTACTCATGACACGAAGGCGATGCGCAATAGCTAAAGCGACATTTAAACTCGCCCACCACCCGGAGCCTTGATAGGGGTCATTTGAGTACTGTCTCTCGACAAGATGCATGAATGTGGGTTGGTGGAACAGCGGGAACATGCAGTTGAAATTATCAAAATAGTCCTTGAGTAAAGATAACGCTTCCGGCTTAGACGGTAATGGCCGATAGACCGGACGATGGAATAAATCACTGAATATCTCCGGCTTCCAGTGGTTCCATTTATGGTCATCGATAGACACCCATGAGATCATCCGCTGAAACGATGTGTCTCCTGTCTTTTCGTTCACCCATTGGATACCCTTGGGTGAGAATATTGAAAATCCCGAGGAGGATCCTAATGCGAGTTAGCCGATATGCGCGCATCCGTGGCTAGTCTGCGACCATGGCCTACCTATATATCTCGTTTCTCCGGATTGATTTGTTACTAATGAGCACATCATCTCAGATAAAGCTTCGACTTCCTCCTCCTCTTTTCCCTTAGGCTTTTCGGGTTGAGGTGAGTTTTCTTTTCTAAATTCTCTATCTCGAGCTGGTTCTGGCGATGTTAATGCGCTTCGAGGGGTCGACATGGGGCCATCATGACCTGACGTCGCTTGCGACGGTGACGTAGGATTCGAAGTCGCTGCCTGCGAGGCTTGTCTCGATTGCTGATTCTTCTCCGCAAGGCGCTTCTCTAACGTAGCTAAATCGGTCGATTCGTCGTCATCTCCGAGCAATCCTTTTCATATTGTTAGTTGACGCCAGGCACATACGATGCGACATTGGGGACCAGCTTCAGACATACCCGAGAGTCGTAACAGACTTTCCATGCGCCCCAGACGGTTTTCGAGTCCTTCGATGTATTTTGCACTACGTAGTCATATAGATTAGCTGCTATGCACGAAGTTTAGTTGTAATACGCCGGGTATTTGCTCGTACCCTTTCGGAGGATTCCTCTTCTTCTCGACCTGCGTAAAGACACAATCTGTTTTGTAATTTATACAATGCGTGCAAGCCGGCAGCTTTCCGTCGCACTTAATTTTCTTCTTCCGACACATATCGCAAGCCTTTATAATCGGTCAACCTATGTACGCAAAATTGGTCGTCAACAACGAGTAGACTTACCCGTGCGATCCTCCTCCTTTTCGCTTCGTTCGCATCCTCCAGTAGCGCCGATGGATCGAATGCCATCTGAGCTGCAAGCTCCGGTGGTAATACTGGTAAACTATCGTGACCGTAAGCTCCGAATATTTGTGGCGGCTGGTTAATCAGCTGTGGTCGGGGCATTCCAGTGAGTTGGAAGCCCCCTCCTGGATCAACCCTCATATGATCCATAGTATATCTTCGCTCCACGATATTAGTCGTCGCTATCGGTCGGTAATCGTCGCTTTAGTGAATTAGGAAGACGTGAGAGCGCGGGTAACAAGCTACACAGAGCTCGGATAGGAAGGTATCGTTAGGTATTAGTTAATTAATATAAACGTAGGTTGACGTTCTGCAGAAATTATTCGATCTAGGTAACTTTTAGGCTGGGTAACTTTGTGTAGCATTTAAATCTGCGGATTTAAAAATCCAATGTATCCACGAAGACCGGGAAGCCTTTGGTGGGAGTGAGCGATCGAGACCCCTTGTCTCTCCCTTTATGAACTAGGCTAAGATTATCAATCAACTTGGCCGCAGCTAGGACATGTTATTCGTTCGGTAATTCGTCCAGGGGGGGCTTGGAGCCGGGATTAAACGCCGCGTCAGGCGTGCAGGAGCTTTGATATATGTAGGTACCTAAGCCTAAGTATGCGAATTCGTACTCGTTCTTCTAAACTTGGCAGAAGACCTATTGTAGGCGCCGGGGGCGATGAGCAATGTTCAATGAGGTACGGAGATATTTTAAGCGTGTCAATATGTGAGGTAGGCAAGTAACCGTACCGCGTGACTGAGGTAGGCTGAGGTATGTTGGTAAATTAAGACGTAATTGTCTATGAAAGAGGCAACTCGATTTTAGTTAATTAATTATTTTTTTTCTAGAGTTTCTTCTTTCTTTCTTGGAACGAAGAGGGAAGAAGTTTAGAGGTTCAAGAAATCCAAGAGCACGCTAGGTCTGAGACAAGAGATTGATAATCCTTCGGGGAGTTCGAGATGCCCGTTGGTCCACACTACTTGACTACCTGACTAGCATCGGCGGTCAGAAACGCAAGAGATTCTCTCCTTAGTCCTAACAATGATTCAGTGGTCCTCACAAAGATCCCCGCGAATCAGAAGGTATAGTGGCACCACATAGAGGTCTGTGATAATACTACCTATCCACACTTATAGGGAATCCCCTGCTAGTCATAGGGTTGTATTTTGAGGGGATCTCTGCCGGCAGGGGGAGATTTACAATGTGATAGAGAGGCTCGAGTACTTCGGGTTAGGTGTGGCGATCCACTGAAGTGTTTGTATCATGATGATTCGCCATAGATTAGCAAGATGTGCAACACCTCCTGTAGGGTCATCCGATCTCCTTTTTTCCAAGTTTATAGACTAATAATATTAAGAGGTACGAAGTATTGAGTATTGTAGAAAAGATTGGAATGCCAATGTTTGTAAAATGGCGCTAATACTTCATTATTTCCACTAACACCGGAGGAGTCGGACGAACCCTTCCAAGCTGAAGAGAGAAAAAAAAGTCTCCGATTCTTAGTCTAACCCCTCCTACCCTTTTTGGAAACTGGATACTTAATAGTCAATGCGTTTTATTTATTAGTATTTGTTAGTCATTCTAGTATCTTTTTGGTATAGAGAGCGATTTCGAAGGTTTATCAAGCAAACATACAAACATTCAAGTTATTCTATTCAACCTATAATATACTTCTATTACCTGTATTTAAATTATTCCCGATATGTTATTGTTAGGTCTTGTTGGCTTAGAAAGAGTTGGCTCTAAATCAATTTAGTAAGCTGACGTATTGTTACTCAAGTTGAGACAATAAACTAAGGCGTTATCACATCATAATCCTCACTCATTTTGGTGTTTAGAAGAGAAACTTGATGTCAGAGGCCGCCAACTGCTGTATGCAAAGAATTGATAAGCTTGAATCCTTATGCACCTCACTAGAGTTGGGCTGCATCCACGTTCCGTGGTCTGATTGAGAGGTTAGGTAACCACCCTAATTGACTCCTAATTGGAATTTCGTTTCATCCGCCCTACATGGGTTAAGAACAAGTCTTGCCTAAGCTCTAAGAAGATGACGACCGAGAAAAACTATTCTCACATGCGCCGAAATCAAGTCAAAGTCTATCCGGGGAAATGGCACACAGACATAAACACCAAGAAATTTAGTCAACTTCGTGAACCAAAAACTTGTTAGTAGAGGAACATAGACACATTAAATTTGTAATAGTTGGCCCGAGCATCGACGGGAAGGCGGATGATAGATCCAGTCGTGTTTCATAACCGTCTCAACTATTGACCATGTCAGGTACCTTTCCGGATCCTATGTAGATCAAGCAGTATGGGTGCAGTATAATTGCGGTACGCACTTGCGCACAGAGAATAAAGACCCAACAACAACCATACTTCGTATAGCATTGGATAGGATAGCCTTGCTCTCTTCTTGCCTAGTAAATGGGGCTAATAGATCTTGACACCATTACGCCGTACATGCCTGTCTTCCGGCATGAACAACACCAGTCTCTCGCTGAGGTCCTGAAAACATTCATCAGACAGGATCCGAAATAGCGTGGATGAAAAAGTGTGTTTGATGATAATTATGCTTGATTACGAGCAGGCCGGAGGAGACGACAGCCGCGATCTCGACTCCGCAAAACGTCCATGCTCTTGCCATCCTTGCCTAAACCGAAGGCTCGGAATGACATCTGACTATTTACAAGAAATGGTGGTATTTCGCATCTGACATTAAGTAGATGCAAATGAAAAGCTGAAAATAGCTTTTTCTTTCCTTTCCCATTGATTTCCCTCCCCCTCGAATATTTTCTCTCAAATATATCAAACGCCAACCCGATGCTGCTGTGACGAGCATATTATTGACATCGACACATATTAACAGAACAGGTATCATCAAAAAGAAGACATGGAAAATGTACAAAGCGCAAATCAAAGGTAGGGTATCGATCAGAGGGGTCATAACACCTCGGTGAATCTAGAAGCCGAGCCGTGGGAGCGACTGGACCCATCGTGAGAAGGGTGGGATCGTCCAAGTGGATCTCTGGGAGGAGGTTCAAGCGCGTTCTCGTCCGAGAAAGGATTAAAGGGACCTTGTTCCGTGATGGGGGTTCGGGCCGGCCCCGGGTTGAAGACCGGAACTCCACTGTCTGGTCGCATTGGAGTACCAACGGCCAACCTAGTCGGCCCTAAGGCACCTCCCATCATACCAGGGAAGGCCTGCGAGTCCCGATATTCTATAGACTGATCACTCAGGATAGTGTCCCGGGGGTCCGAGTAGCCATCCCCTCCGAATTGTATAACTGGAGGTAACTTCCGACCGGACACCTTAGAGAAACCTCGCTCGCCACCATCCGAGGAAACGGCACTCCGCGCAGAAGATCGTTTATACCCGGTTAAGCTGGCAAGTGCAGCTGGAATCGCGAAAGGAATCGAACGCCGTGTTTCGGACATAGCACCACTTCCACCACCACCACTGGGACCAGAATTTCCAGTTAAGGCGCCTCCAGAATCTCGACCACCAGCGGAGCTCTGGACGAGCTTCTGGGCGTTAAGGCGTTTCTTCCATCTGAGAAGGCCAAGAGCAAGAATCAATAGAAACGCAAGCGCGGCTACACCTCCTAAAACACTCCCGGCGACTGTCGCTGCGCTGGGGCTACTAGACCCGGTGCTAGCGTCGGTCGTCGCGGTATTTGAAGAGGAAGGTTGAGCATTACCACCACCAACACCAAAGCCTCCATCCGTTTCTGTAGCAGTCGCGGATCCTAAAAATGAACTGCTGGTTGTCGTTGCGGACTTGGAAGAGGAACTCGTAGGTGTGGCCGAAGTCGAAGAGTCGGATAAAAATGAACTACCACTAGCTAATACAGATGCAGAAGAGCTACCAACACTCTCTGCGGAAAAGGAAACTAGCGAAGAAGCAGTACTGTTTGAGGGAAAGATCGAGGACGAAGAAGCTGTGATTAATGTAGATGTTAGAATACGAGCGCGACACAGAAGCAATATTATAATTATATGCATTCAAGATATAGAATAATAATATTAAATAGTAATAGATTGAGATGTAAAAATACGAACCTTGGGTTGTGTTAGTCACGCCAGCCAAGGAAGGAAAAACGGGAGAGCCTGATAAAGGAGCGGACGTCAAAGGCGAATAAGATAGTGTGGGAAACGAAGTAGGCATCGAAGACTCCGACGGTGCTACGGTCGGGTCTATCGTCGGGATGGAAGTCGATGATAGGCTAGTACTGCTACCTTCATCGTCGCTAGTTGCGGGCGAAGAAGTAGTAGGATAACCAAAATCGGATACGGATCCTGTGGTCGAGTCGGATGAAAATCCAGAGGGGCTACTACTGATTGAATCGGTCGCAGGTGTCGGCTCGGGTGGTGAATCTGGTGGTAGAGTCTGAAGAGTAACGGTCGCACCAGAAGAATCGATAAGCTGAAGGACGGAAACGGTCTCTACTATAATAGTGGGTTCCGAATCGGTACGCTTATGGCCCCTTTTGTTACTGTTTTGAGAAGATGAACGAACGTGGTTATGTTGGTGGGTGTGGTGGTGGTTATGATAGTGGTGACGGCTGTGGCTGTCTCTAGCGTTATGAAAATGATTGTGTTGATGTATATCTACGTCTCGGGTCTGAGGGAGTGAAGACCCCGAGACTGGGGTTGTCATCGCGCGTGGCGGTGAAAATGGAGAAATACGAGCTTTTCCAATGCGTGCGTGTAAGCGTGTACTAGAATACTAGTTTTTTTTTTAGTCGAAGCCGGATTCGCTGATGGATTCGGAAGGGGGGCGTCGGTTCGCTGCTTGAACTCGTTTAGTTCCCTGGTTATGGGCTAGAGCTAGCTGGCTCGCAGGTAAGGTAGGCAGGCAGATCTGTAAGAAAGATAGACAATAAATGATAAATGAATGAATGAATGTCAGGTTGGTTGTTTAGGTTGGTTGATCGTCCAGTTGTGTTATCCCATCATTATCGTATTACTATCATCCCCTATATTTCTTCTGCTACTGCTCTCTTCCTCTGCTTCGACTACTACTTCTTTCTTTCTTGTAAGCCCTTCTTTCATTACCGGGTCCTCATTGTTGGCGCGAGACGTTCGAACCGGATCATCGACACCACAGCGACGAACGGTCAACTCGACGGTTGGAAAGGAAAAAACACAGAGGAGGTAAAAGAGAGAGAGGAAAGAAAAGGAAATTAATTGAAACCCGGAGGCGGATGCGTTTTGATAATATGTTTGCCGACCAAAATTAAAATGAGATACTTCTCAGCGGTGGACCATACCCCCAAGCATCGATCGTTAGCTTCGTCGGATGCCCAGGTGCTCAGAATATGGTACTGGATTTGGGGGTCTTGTCTCGCTGTAAATGGACGACAGGTGCTCGATAGGTGATGCTGCTCATTTCGCTTGGGTTGAGCGTTGTCCCTCTGACAAGGGGGGTCATAGACAAGTGACCAATTAGGTTCAACTACTGCGAGCAGGGACATGGGTTTAATCATCTCTCATTGGATAATAAGACGGGGATTTATTTGCAAACATTCGGGATCTCAAGTTATTCTCATCATCATTTTCATTATGAAAGTTACACCACTCCTGAATTTTTTTCTAATAAGGAGCTGCCAAGCTTTTTTTCTCATCATCCTGACAACCTGGATATATGACAATTTTGTTTAGCAAAAACATATACCTTCGTATGTACACTTTCACGATGTATCAAGCTTCCATTGCTTTTTACTTCGCACGTACATAAGTTAGCGCATGTATGTGTTCGCTGTCAAATCTGCTGGCAGCAACTTAAATATTACTCAAGGCGCTGTGTCTACTTGAATCTAGCTTTTGACCAATGCAGGAACACGAAGTCGAACCCGCAATCGGTAAAGAACTTTAACCTCGACAAGGATAGATTAGGTTGGGTCTAGTTAGGTACGGGTAAGCCAAACAGACAAGAGATACAATACATACATCCATCTATCTACAATTATCTGTATGATCGATGTAGCCCGCTACAATACATCAAATGTATGCATACCATCAATGATCCATCGTGCGTTAGAAAGTTAAGAAAGATAGCCTATGGGGTGGGTGTGGTAAGAACTTTGAAAGAGAAAGAGCTCGTATTCTACGATGCAGGTGCTTAACCGCTAACCATTGCAGGTCTACTGTACCTAGGTAGAGCCACACGACTCAGATTGATTGATTACTTTAGGCAGGTATAATGCTTCTCAATTGGTCTTTGTGCCACTAGAGACATCAATATTGACCGATTCCCACTTCAATAGAAGTTTCATGTTCCATCATTCTTCTATCATTTTTTTCATACGTTACCTATCATTGAGTCGTTCTTCACCTACTGTGCCTACCATTTACTACCCAATTCTATTTTCATGAAAACAACTTATTATCTTCTATGCAACTCTGATTAGAATGGTCTGGGCTCACGAACTAATAATGAATGGAGACAAGGGCCCCCGGGACGATAGGTGGACCGCCTCATTTGCGTTGCGGGTGCTTACGCGCAGTTCCTGGTTCTCCCACTCTTGGTCTCAAACATTCCAATATCATTTTCCCCCGGAAATTGCGTCATAACCAGTAAGGGATAGCCTTTTATGAAAGAATATCCGTCATTTTGAAGTCAACGAAGGGGAAAAGCAAAATATCTATGACAGCACATTCTGTTCGTGTTGTCGTGGTTGATGAAATCAAACAGGTTCAGAAATCTGCACCTACAGGATCTAATCTTCAAGAGCTCAAAGCCAAGATCCTACTAATTTAGCCACACTGCCAAACATTGTTAGCTTCGGTTTACATCCTAATTTTATACCAAGCTGCATACGATACAAGTCCAATCTTTGTGTCTAGACCCATAGCGACGCGTGAGCTTCTTCGCCCTAAATGCCCTACCCGGCCATATAGCAAGTAACTAGCGACAAAGAAGTTAATCCTATTACAGCGTAGTTCGTTTATGATTTGCAGCATCGACTGATATTCGAAACAAGTCGAACGCGTCGTATCAACTACGACTAAGGGCTAAAGATTCAAGATCTAACTTGATTCCAATTTTGAAAATAAGGCTAGCAATTTTCCATTCCTGTCTACACTCAATGAGATTGGACGTAACATTTAAAAATCCGGATTCTTAACTTCCCTAAGTACCTACCTGCAGATACTGACTGGCCTTGATGGTTTCACTGAAGCTAATCGCCTAGTTTGATCTCTATCAGAGTCGAGCTCGAGTACACAAGAGGGATTCGCCAAGCTTGCGAATAGTATCTTTATCCTGTTCTTCTCACATTGTCCCCTGTCTGATTTCGTTTAACGAATCCAATATCAATGCTCAGATTTACTTGTTACTCCATCAATTTCGTCTGTCGATTCCCGAAGGATTCCGGGTACGCAACCGGGACACAATTTGCGAGTGGTGTGCCACTCCATTGCAACGTATCTGAATATAGGTCAGAGGTTGATCCGGCACGGTCCCGGAAGTAACCTCGTACGATTTATGTTGTATCCGGAACACTCGATCGATTTGAAAGGCATTCTCGTTGCAGCGTCGTAGTGACTTGAGCGCATAATCGGGCCTTAGCTGGTGAAGCGCGTTCGCTATGTATGCCCGGAGATAGATATTAATTATTAGTACACAGTGGGATAACATCGTAGAGAACGCCTTTTGAACTCTAACGGTTTGAAGATGATATCGACACGCCAGCAAAATACACAGACGTTATCAATATATAAAAAGGATTCAGACACGATTCATCGCGGATGGTTCCATGCCCTCGAATAATATGGTCTTGAATATATACATTCGATTCTCGCGCCAGGATTCGAAAACACTTGGTCGAGTTACACCGTAATAGTAATAGTAATCTTTGACAACCTCGAGGTCATACGCAATGAGGCAAACATGATAGCCCCAAACCTCTCATTTGTACGCGAATAGCGAAATGAAGTCCAATTCACATAAGGTAGGCCTGGAAATTTGTCCTCATCTTGGGGTATCACGAAAACGCTTTGATGCTATGGGCTCATCTATGAATGGTCGTGCTTTTCCTCGGAGGTAATCCGAATCAACGCCAGAACGCCGGTTAACTGCTTATAATCTCGTCCAAAATCCTCTATGCAAATGATACCCTCTTCTTTTTCGGTTTCGCGGCCTTCGTACCCGCTAATGCGACATCCTTGATTTCATAATCATCACCGTCGGGTTTGTTCGTTCTCTTCCTCTTTTTTCTAAGCGACTCCTTGGTCTGGTCGAGCTTCGTCTTCTTTTCGTCTTCCTTCTTTTCTGCTTCTACTCTTCGCGCTTCTCGAATCTCTTCCATTTGTCGGGCTTTGATCATCTTGGACTCGATTTCGCCTTCCTTGTCTGCTTGCACCATGGCAAGGATTGTGCTCATGCTTTCCTATTCAAATCGCGAACCCCGTTAGCATCCTGCGCTGGTAAAAGAATGTGATTGAATTTGGATTGGGAATCATACCTTATCATCCACGAAAACCTTGCCCTTTTTCTTCCCTTTGGGCTTTGTAACACCAATCGGCGTCACCATATTCAATTCCGGAATACCAAGCTCTTTCTCTGTGTAGACCTTCTTCTTTTTCTTCTTCAACAAGTCGGCAGCGTTTTTGGTTCTCACTTGCTTCGAAAGAGGCGCGCCTTTTCGTTTCGGCTTGGAAACGCCATCCGAGGGGCCGCTTTTCGAAGATTTGCTAGAGCTGATTCCGGACTTATTCGCCGCATGCTTGTTTTTGACTGTTCTCGTTCTTGAAGGCGCCATCTTGTGTTGTTGTTGGTTGCGACGAGACGCAACTTGAATTGAAGTTTGTAAAGTTTAGAACCTACAGAAATATTTTTGGGGTCGCATCTTATCGATAGAGGGGGGCTAGGCCAGTGCAAAGTCAGTACCTACAGGTGGGGCACTAAAAGCCCCAAATTCAGTAATTCACTTCGCTGTGGTTGGTCAATCGCCCCCGTCTTAGCTTGCATTCTTGCCTACAAGTCAGCCGAGCATCGGGCTTTCAGCACACTACTAGAAAAAAAAGATGGACTCTTCACAGTTTGCCCACTTCGAGATTCTAGACGTCAACTTTGAAGGACGGACACCCTACGCAGATTACGATGGGCTCTGAAAAGACTACCCAGCGGTGGGCGGCATTCGCCCGCGATACCAACGAGACCAAAATCAAACTCGCACTTAACCTCGACGGCGGCGAATTCCCGCCCGACACCGAACCCTCCCTCCTAGCCTCCGTCGCCGAAGGCCACGCCAGTCAATCCAGCAAATCGCAAATAATTAGCGTGAACACAGGAATCGGGTTTCTCGATCACATGCTCCACGCCCTCGCGAAACACGCAGGTTGGAGTCTGGCGTTGGCGTGCAAGGGCGACCTCCATAGTACGAGCTACCCCTCCACCATTACATGAAACGAACGAAGAGAAGACTAGTCGCTGACGAAGAGCAAAGTCGACGACCACCACACCGCCGAAGACTGCTGCATAGCGCTCGGCTACGCCTTCGCCACATCCCTCGGCAGCGCCTCCGGCCTAGCCCGTTTCGGCTCCGCATACGCGCCTCTCGACGAAGCACTCTCGCGCGCCGTCGTCGACCTCTCGAACCGGCCGTTCAGCGTTATTGATCTCGGACTCAAGCGTGAGAAGATTGGGGACTTGAGCTGTGAGATGATACCACATTGTCTGCAGAGCTTTGCGCAGGCTGCGAGGGTTACGTTGCATGTTGATTGCTTGCGCGGGGAGAACGATCATCATCGTGCGGAGAGCGCGTTTAAGGCGCTTGCGGTGGCTATAAGGCAGGCTACTAGTCGGGTGGCGGGAAAGGAGGGCGAGGTTCCTAGTACGAAGGGTACGTTGAGTGTGTAGGGGAGTTGGGTAGGGTAAAATATAAAACGGTGGCTTTAGAGGTGACACTACGAAAATTACGAGTTTATATAAATCTTAGTCTTTTATTAGTAATCGCTAGCCCTTCGGTATTCCTAGACTCGGACATCATACGGCTGTATCCATGCACTCAGAAATCAGGTCATGGTCTCATAACTATCTCTGGGGTTCATGCGGGAAGCGCAAAGTTAGGATTAGGGTTCGTACAGTAATAAGAGTAAATCACAAACAAGCGATATTCCCAATTTTACTTTTTTGATTTACTAATCTCATTTGATAGCACTTTGGTAGCCAGAAAGCCAGTATTCATGCCACAATTAGTCCCTATGTACACGACCTCACGGTCGGTAATCCTCATTCGAAAGTGTCATTAAGCCACATTATCCCTAGCCATTCCAGACAATCTCATTCCGATTCCGATGAAGCAAAGAGTGACAACCATCCACATGTCAAACCTATGCAGGGTATCACATCCGACTCGTACAATTCCTTTCCATGCATTTCGAGGCAACACTCGACCTACATCCATGAAAAGCCTCCTCCTCGTTCATTGATTGGCAGACTCAACTGCGCTTAGTAACGGTATCCAGCCGGCTGGGTATGCGCGGTAGCAGTACCAGTCTCGGGGTAAGCTGTCTGACCGTCGTACCCGTACTTGCTGTACGTCGTGGGCTCAGGACCGACAGCAGTAGTCTCGGTGTTGTAGCTTGGACGCATTTGGTCTGGGTGCGTGTGCTCAGGTAACACATTGGGGTCTGTGGTGTCAGCAGTCTGTTTGCGGCGGAAGAGACCGAATAGACCCCGGCGCTTGGCGTATCCAGACGTATAGTTGTTAGCTGGGCTGGGGCCAAATCTTTGCTCCTTGCGGCGTTGGCGGACGAGCACAACTTCGAGGAGAGCGGAGAAGACGAAGAAGATGCTGAGGGTTGTTTAGTAAATGTGCTTGTTGGGGTGAAAGGTGGGATGTGGTCTTACATAGCTACTATCGAGACGGCTAAGCAAGCTGTCTGCATCTGACAAACTTGTCGGTACGTCGGGTGCTTGTTATCGATCAGGTCTGATGCTTCACCCGTACCGAAGGGGGTGTCGACCTGGCCGGTACAGCTGCTAGCTCCTCCTCTATTGGCACTAGCAACGTAGATATAACCGCCGATGAAGCAGATATCCAAAACAATGGCGATGAATGAGGTGAAAGGGTGACCAGCCAGACAACACAAAAGTAGAAGACCGAGGACTGTGTAGAGTACACCAACACCAGAGATACCTTCAACCGCACGAGTCCATGTTGGTATCGTTAGATGGCGGCTGGTGAGGGTCGCAAGGAAGTATGAGAATAGGGCGAGGATGAGTGCACTGCAGCAGAACTGAATACCGCGAAAGAACCACTGCACCAATTTTAGGGCGAAGCCCGCTTTTGCGCCCATGATCGCAACTTTTTGCTATTTATGATTCTCAAAGCTTAAATCGATCGAAGTTGTACAGAATAATAAGTTGTGGAATTTGTAATTCTCTACCTAGATTAGAGATGGTAGGAGTTGAAGAAAACTCGTGGGTTCGGAACTCGTGGGAAGTGAGATCTGGAAAGTGTACGGAGTAACTAAATTACAACTGGGGCAGAAGAAGGGAGGAATTAGGAATAATAGGTAGGGAGAGGTTGAACAGGGTGTCAATTTTTATTTAGGTGGTTGACCAATGAAAAAAATATGGGTTGACGTAGATTATGACCATGAAAGGTGAACTCGGAGTTTTAGCAAGTAAATCGGTTACCAGACAAGTCTACCTAGAAATTAAATCTACCAGTCTACATCGTTACGAATGACGAATGCGGTCATAGTTTATTCCAATTTTGCACCAAACCGCCCCTCCATTAAGCAAACTGCCCCTCAACAATGGGTCCTATTCGATACAAGCCTCTTGAACTAGTGTCGATCTGCCGGAGTGGCGTCTGGCTTTAACAAGGATTAAGAGAAAAGAAGCTCTCTGATTCGTTGGATCAAGATCAAAGCCACAGAGAAGCGTCATAGCTCGTGGCGTAACCCGTTGTCACCCGCGACCGCCAGCCACACCCAACAATTGATGACGATCGTCATCCGTTCCATCCGTCGCAATAAGGAACCATTATTAAAAGAGGGCGCATCTGTGTCTCTCCAAAAGAGAAACACACGTGAATCTATGTACTAGGCAGCTAACGTTACACACTTATACTAGATCATAAATCAGGTTTATGTTGTGTTTAAGGTTTGCATTAATTCTGCGACTAGAAGCTCTACTAAATATCTCGGTCGCATCTCTACGTCAGGTTCAGCTATGTGTTGTTGAATTTAACAACGGAAGGCTACTCGAGAAGCAATTATAACGTCATAAAAACTTACCCGAGTTAAATTCTAAAATAAGAGCACATGCTAGGATCCCCATCCCAATAGAGTACGTGTTTCTTCCCATGAATTATGTACCTAGGTACACATGCATCTGGAATTTTAAGGACGTATATCCTTCCTCATGACATCTCTGGTTACAGCTAATTATGAACCTTTAACATGTTGAAGTCCCAATTTGTTTGTAAAATCCAGGAAAACAAAGAACTTATGTTAGGAATGTTCGGGGCTGATTTATAACCTTACATAGAAATTCATATGCTTCAAATTGGTAAAGTTGCAAGTAGCAATACCGGACGGTCGGACGATACATTTCCCCAGAATCTATGCAACTGCAACTTATTATTTTCAGCATTGCTTTACTAACTACAGATTACGGATTTACTAAAGTTTTGTAACTCAAAATTTATCGAATCGGTGGAGTATAAAGCAACTAAGTACTTTGGCAGGTTAGGGATAAAATATAGAATGCTGTTTAGAAACACACTCGCTAAGAACATAGCCTGCACGCACTACGGTCACAGCCTTCGACATTCGTAAGCCTTTCAGCACGCCATTCCAAGGTAATTAGGTAATATTTTTCATTCGCATTGCCATTCGTATATTCTCATTAGTTTATTGCTATCATTCGCTATCTAGCAATGATAACATAACCTGGAGGGCTGTCGAGGGCCCTATTGCCCGTTCATGGAGGGGCACACTTAGAATCTCTCCGAATGTGGTCCTCTTAGTCGTCAACGAGCAGAACAAGTCACACTTCTTGCGGCCGTCCGCCCCTTTCTATGTTAAGGGCGAGACCAAAGACAAATTCCATTGCGATGAATGTTGACCTAGATTTGCCTTGTGCATATCTGAGACTCGACTTGCCTTCTTGAATGAGTCCTTAGGGGTACTGAGAATGAACACCCTTTTCACCTTTTTGACTTCCCCTTTGCTTTGGCGGCTTTCTGTTTATCCACGAAATCCCTTATGATTGCGTGGAGATCTTGATTCCGTCTAGCAAGTAGCAAGACATCGTCGGTGTTGATGGTTGTTCGTCCCGCATGACGACTGAAGTTCTCTAGGTCTAATGCGACATTTTCTATGATTTGTTAGTTTAAATTCACAAGTTGTTTTATTTCAACTCATGAGTATAAACAGTACCTATTTGAGCCCAGACCATCTCAGTCAAAGCTCCGATGAATTGGGGAGTGACATTTCTGTTCCTTCTGAGAGTTTCTTCATCGACCATCTTCCCCACTGCGAACCATAGCGCAGCTTTTAGTTGCTAATATACCATAGCGATTAGCTGATAACGTTCTACTAAGTTTTTGCGAAAAGTTCTTACCTCGCGCACTTCTTCCTCAGATTCATCTGCCATGATCCATCAAGGGTACCTGGTTCTTAACAAACAGAAGATGTTTCGTTTCGTTCCAGGGACGATGGCTGCAACCGGCAATTGAAGCGCGTTCAAGTTACGTCAGGCGCGTCGAGACAATTAAGGTTGTGCTGAAGATAGGCTAGTGTTAGCCCTGGAGGTGCTTGGGTAGATTTAAATTGGGGAACGTGCGCGCTAATGCCGGCGAGGTTTTTATTTTTTCTAGGCGGTTTTATTTCACGCAGCAACCGCAGGGGTCTCCCACTATTTACATCTTCCCAAGTTTCAAGAGCCTCAACCATTTTTTCTATACAATAATTTCCTCGGTATTAAAGCTAAAATTCTTGATCTAATTGGGTCATATAAAACAGCTTCTTGCTAAATACCTTCGATCTCCCGCTGCATCATAATACCTCTACCTACAATCCAATCACTTCATCGCCGAACGAACCTGAAAAAAAAATACCAATCCACCATGTCGGAACTCGTGGATCTCGTCACCCATCTGTTCGACTCGGTATCCCAGCTTTTCACGCTGGTTAAAGACCGCTTCTCCACAAACCTCAGCGAGTCCTTTACTTCTATGACACCGAAACAATGGATCCGACTAGTCATCATCGTCGGCGCATACATGCTCTTGCGTCCATATCTCATGAAGATGGGTGCTAAGTTCCAAGAAAAACAACTTGAGAAGCAATTCGCAGAAGAAGAAAAGCAAGCCGAAATATCACCAAACCAACTGCGCGGTCAAGTCGACATACCCGAAGATAGCGACGAGGAAGAACAAGCCGAGACGACCTCTTCGGACTGGGGAAAGAAGGCACGAAAGCGACAGAGAAATATGATCAAGAAGCTGCTGGATGCTGAAGAGAAGAGGTTACAAGAACTACAAGAAGATGAGGAAGACAAGGATATCGAGCAATATCTCGTTGGATAAGATCAATATGGGTTGAATTGGCGCACGGGAAAGGTGCTAGCGCATATGTTTGGTTCCTCAGCTTCCGCAATACAAAGTTAATATAGAAGACTTGTTCGTCGAACCGACCATTCTATCATCCATCGTCTAGTTGTCTACCTGATACTGCGAGCGAAGCACGGCGATCACATAGTCGCATACGCATGATTTAATGAGAATAATACTCTGCCTCCTTACCTGGCGATTCTGGGGCAAAAACCAAGAAAATCATATACCTAAGAAGTCAATTGTTACCGATTGATTCGTTTCGATATTAATCCCCTGCTATGGACCAATTCGTAGAATCGCCGACCCGCCGGTAGATATATTCAACATTTTTTTAGTTTTGGCACGGTGCCAAAATGGAGCTTGAAGGTTGGTGTATAATCCGAGCGTCTAGCATTCTGGATTACATGTACCTACCTGGTATATGTAAGGGCTCATTAACCATAAAGCATATTTATCTGTAACTTAGACTGACTGACTGATAAATATCATAGAAGCAAACCTGTCGGATATCTAGCCAGACATTTACATGCCTCGGCTACAATCGCCATTCGAAACTTCTCAAATTCCGATCAATAGGATGCTCCTTATATCATCGGTGCAGCTACCTCATCCCGCCCTTTCTAGATCGTGCTTATTTTGCTTATTTCTTACACGGTTTTGTTTCGATTTACACCACGCTCAATCTAATACTTCCATCACATAGTTATTTGCGAATTGTGTCACCCCGTTTATCTGCACGAAATAGCCTCGTGCAAGGGGTTGCAACGAAGGTGCCAATGATAATGATAGACTCGTTAGAATATATCAAAATGCTGTGCGCATGTGATACCTCGAGTCCCTCCCAGAGTCCGTCACATACGGCCCTAAAGAGGCACAGACCGGCAAACAACCATTTGAAGTGCAAACTTCGCTTACTCGCTCGTATCTACTGGACATGGGAAAGCAATATCCAGTCTTGTTCGTTATTCAATACCGACCTGACCGGTCAATTTTGTCTTAGCTTTGTGTGAGGAGGTCGGTCACCGGTGTGGCAGTAGCTACTTAATATTACGAGGCTAGCATGCAAATGTGCGGTATCGAGAAGGGGGAGGAAACACTGACTTTTTCAATACAGACCGCCAAGGCGATGCTAAGCGGTGAGGTGAAGGGAGAAAAGTGGCGAGGACGGCCAACATATGCCGTCCTTCACGCCAATCACTCCTTGGCAAGCCATATTCGTACCGTTCCCCGCGGGAGAAACAATTTTGTGATTCCTGGACGACGTAGAGAAATATCGAGCTTCCCGCATCTGGTAAGTCTGTCAGACGCCCAGATCCAGATACTATACAAAGTGCAATGCATTATTGGTCGCCGCGCGTGATATCTGTTTAAATTTGTCTTACCCTACAACCAGGATACCGGCGGGGTGGTCCTCTTCGACGTACGGACCTACCAATGGACTGGGGAGGGACCGGGGCCTTCTTCAGGGGTCCCTTTAGCCGATCGGTGGGATTCGTGAATATCTGTATGCATAACACTTCTGTACCCCGGTCGTGGAACCTGCAATATCTTTGGAAATGCTTACATACATAGTAGTCGACGAAAATTTGAAGAAACGGTAGGGCTCGTGTGGTCCTGTGGGAGTTAACCTGCCGCGCCTCTTACACGCAGATCTGAGAGGGAGGGACACGGCTGGCTGGTTGGTTTGTTTGCTCGGACTAACGAGAAACGCCACTCCATATAATCAAAGCTGCGACTCTTTCGAAAGATGATTTAATGTTCCTGTGCCACTTTATTGTTATACCAATTCAATACCGCCTATAATCTCGGATTCGAGGAGCCGCGGGCTTGGGCCTTAGGCCTTCTTCACTCACGAGTCACCCTTAACGAGGCTCTCACGATGAGCGACGATATAATCTACTATGCCGAGGTGCCAGAGGGGCAGGTCCGTACTCCGGTAAATCCACCGACGCAGCGGGGAGCCTTGATGGCTGCGGGCGTCTCGACGACTCTCATCGCCGCTATTGCTCTTGGCCTGCGCCTGTATACTAGGATTCACGTGCTTAAGAAGAAGCTCGAAGCTGACGACTGTAAGGAGTGGATCATTGGCCATCTGAATGACTATTCAACTAACATATGCCGAAGGGCTTGTTATCGCTTCATTTGTGGTTTCGGTTGCGATGCTGGTGTTTGTGAAGAAAGGTAGAAGTTACTGTCTGCAATGATGTCTGACTTGATCTAACGCTCATAAACAGACATCGACCATGGCCTTACATACCACGTATGGGATATTCCGCAGGATACTTACCACATCGGCGAACGTCTGGTAATACTTCCGCATCTCCAGACATCTTCCCATCGGGCTAACGATATTCTCAGTATGGTCTACTGGCGTATTTGACGTTTATTCTGAGTGTCAGCTTCGCCAAGATGTCCATGCTGGTCTTGTACCTCAGACTTGCACCACACGAATGGTTCCGTTGGACTTGCTTTACGTGCATCGGTGTCATCGCATGCTATTCGGTAACGGCGGCGTTCGTTGAATCGTTGGCCTGTAGGCCACTTCAAGGTATCGTTGATGAGAGTCTAGATGCTGAGTGTTACGACTCGTACCCGGCTTATATAACTCTGAGCAGTCTAAGGTACGTCGAATCAACATACGCCCAAAGGTTTTTAATAGGAACTAACGTGTTCACAGTACGCCATATAAAATACCCCAAATCCGCGCTTGGATTGCTGACGTGTAGTAGACATCGGGATCGATATCATTATTCTTTTATTGCCAATCCCATTGGTAATCCGAATGCAGCTCCCCACTAGACAGAAGATCTCGGTGATCTTACTCTTCGCAACTGGCATCTTGTATGAACAACTCTATACGCTCTTCTGCACGTAACTTGGGTTTGCTGACTGGTGTTTAGTGTGTGCGCCGTTGCTCTCAAACGAGTTATTTATATACCCGTCCTGGAGGCGAGTGAAGACTACGATTGGGACGCGGTACCTGACAGTAAGCTCCTTCCCGACGTCTTTTGTGCAATACCCGATGGCCACTAATATTGTGTAACCTAGTGATACTCTGTTTTCTCGAGGTGAACTTTGGCATCGTATGCGCCTCAGTCCCCGCAGTCCGGCCCTTCTTCAGCCGCCTGCTTCCAGTGCTCATAGGGTATCGAAAATACAGCGACCCAGGGTCATCGGGACCGGATAGCGCTAGGCCGATCAACACGGTCGAACAGAAGAACATGGAAAGACAGAATCTGAAACACCGTAATATAGGACCGGGCGAATCATACGACATGTCGTCATATAGTGAAGGCAGTCGGAGTTTAGAAAGTCCGGATGAGGAGTCCCGGTTGTGGCCTTCGCTTGATGCGAGTAAATCTCATGGTATGGGCAATACTTCAACGGCGGTCTGAGGCGAATTGGTTTTATTGTAATTTAGTATACCCAATACGGCGTGTAATCAATCGCTGAAGCTTTATGATGCAGCGCTCGCGTTTGTCGACGCATACGGCTATGATAAGGGTGGCGCTTTAGGAGATAACGCACCGTTGATATTACTCGTGATAACTGTATACCTGGCACCGCTTAGCTATCATGCTTTATCAAGAGAGTGGAAATAGGTAAGATTTCCCCTGGAGAAACGGCTTCCTCAATGTGGTTGAGAGCTATGCAATCAGGCTCTAGTCTCATACGCCTACGTCAAATGAATCGAAGACCGTATGAGTTCTCATAAATAACAGAGATACCGTATGATAAATCAAATCGGCAACCAATAGCATCGTCTACTAGACAGTCCAGACAGTGCTAATCGTATCGTAAGTATACATTTAATCTGACGTGGGCTTTTGATAACCAATAAAGCTAATACCTAGGAGGTACCTAGCAGTTTTTTTCTTTTTCATAAACCTGAGGACCAATGTGATATTTAATTCCTACAGTAATTCCCAATAAAATCATCATTCGGTTACATAAAGTAACCGTTATCTCCTCACAGTAATACTACCTTACTGTACCTAGGTAGTTAGGTAGGCTGCGGCTTCGATCGCCAGCCCTATTTCCCCTCAGTCCATCAACCTATGCCGGTCATAACCTACGTAAGTTGCTGTACTCGCTTGTACTCGTAGTCATTATCGTCATACTCGTCGCCCTTCTTTTCCCGGGGGTCTTTAATACTAATGGCGTGATTAATTATAATACTGGAACTACGGAAGCCATAGCGACCTTGTCACTCATTTGCAATGTCATGCAAGTTGTTAGCTTCACTGGCGAGGTCTTTCGACTCGCCCGCAGCTTGCGGGAGAACGGTATGAATCCCTCAAGAAGGAACTTCCTAGGTACTTAGATCGGTTTTAACTAACGAATGCAATCTAGGCAGTCTAGATCCCAGCCTCGTATCGAATACAGAAAGTTTGAATCGACTTCTTTCTACCCTAAATTCCGAGCTCGGTAGTCTAGACGGCATCGCACTGCCTAGTGACACAAGTGCAGAGCAACAGGAAACCGACAAGGAGAGTCTTAAGGCGCAGACGCGAAATCTGCTTCAAAATGTGGAGAAGCTTCAACTGATATTCAAGAAGTCATCGAATATAGTGGGGGACTCGACAGCTTCTAGGGGAGAATCGAACGAAGGAATATCGGAAACAAATTCTAGCAAAGTCCTGACCATTATTTCTAAGGGAAAATCTAGTATAATTTCCAAAGGAAAAGCCATCTCAGTAATTCTGAAATACAAGTTCCATTACCAGTCCGAAATCGCAAGCTTAGGGGAAAATATCGATAAAGCTCACGCTATCTTGAATACTGGCCTCCTCAAAAGACTATGGTAAGGAAATATGATCCTTGAGGGTTTCCAGTTATTGCTGTGGTGCTAACAACAAAACTAGTAACTCGGACGCAGCGGAGAAAGCTCGATCAGACATGGCTTTCGCCGGTAAGTACCTCAGGTACCCATACCGACCTAACACTCTATTAATCTAAGTATCTAAAAGGCCTTGACCGAAAGCTTCAACGATTTATTAAACTCTGGTCTGAGGGACACAGAGATATATCAATGCTCATATCTGCAGAGGCAGCAAACGCAAGAGTACATGTTACAGCCGAGGTCTCATTGCTGGGAAACCGCATGGATGAGGCAGAAAAATCCATCAAGGCATATGTGGATGCTCTACATGCTGCAGCTATCTGTCATAATGCGTCAGTATTGTCGGACGATAGAGAGCTTAGAGGACGAGAGGAGTTGATAGCCCGCATTTTTTCTACCCTCTGGTTTGATAGTATGAATAAGCGTGAAAACGAGATCGGATCGCCGGATTACGAAGTGAATTTAGTCACGGAAGCTGAGGGCGCACCCACCCGACTTTCCCAATGGCTTGAAGCAGAAGATCCTATTTTCTGGATATCAGGCAAACCCGGAAGCGGAAAGTCTTCGTTGATGAAGTTTCTAGTATCGGATACACGAACGAAGGACCATCTCAACAAGTGGAAACCCGTGTGACAATTTGTCGATACTTTTTCATAGAGCTTTGTACGGATCCTTTGCAACGCGAATTCCGAGGCTGTTTGCGAGCATTATTATACCAGATTTTGAAGTCTAAGCCCCATATCCTTGAAGCCCTCTTGAGTAGAAAACCAAAGCTAGCGGACAAGCGCTCAGGGAATGATTGGTCAATAGGAGAACTTCGCGATATACTTTTGGAGTCTTTTCGCCTCGCAAACTCTCCAATCTGTCTCTTCCTTGACGGCCTCGACGAGGTTGCAGTCAAATCGGATGACCGCGATTCTATAATCAACCTGATAGAACAACTAGGGCGTCTTGGGAACACAAAGATTTGTGCCTCTAGCCGTCCAGAAAATATCTTCCAGGACAGGTTTGGCTCATATCCGTGTTTACAAACACAGGACTTGAACGGACCCGCCATAGGACTATACATACAGAAGAGATTGGCCAAATATAAACCCTCTTCACCTGCTGACCTCGGCCATTACCAGAAGCTGATTAGAGTTCTGGCAGAGAAGGCATCCGGAGTATTTCTTTGGGTTCGTTTGGCAACTAATAGTGTCGTCGATGGTATAAGAAACCGAGACAAATGGAGTACCCTCTATGAACGGACCGAAAAACTGGAGCCTGACCTCGATAAATTCTTCAGCCAAATGTGGGACAGGCAAAGTTCTAACGCTGCCTTCTACAAGGAAGATAGAGAAAGATTGTTATGGTATTCTCTACTTGTAACCGTATCTGAGGTCTTGTCTACACTCCTAGGGTATATCCTCGGTACCCACGAGGACTTTCGTTCCAACTTACTGCATTACACCGTCGGCGCAGAACGAATTACTGAAGAAGCACGGATATTCGAGGAATATCGCAAGTGGCTTTCTGCAAGAGGTGCAGGTTTGCTCGAGATAACCAAGGAACCTATCCGCCCGATCGGATTAACGGATTCTTCTTTACTCCATTATCAAGTTGGATTCATTCATCGTTCTGTGCAGGAATTCCTCCTCGGTACACAAGCGGGGCATGATATTCTTCTGGCTACCCCTAATTCCAGCAAACAGAGATTATTGCGAACCACCAGAGCTATAAAAGATATCTGTTGTTACGTAGGCGATGTGAGATTCATCTCGAGCTATGCGGGATTCATCTTCGATATGGATTGCGTGGGTCTTATAACACCCCAAGAAGAGGCAGAGGAGTTTCTAGATTTTCGAAGTCGATTACAATCACGAGCTCCGGGGGCGTTCCCGGATTATTACTTCTTGGACAAAGCCGTTGAGTGTTGTAATGTCGAGTTCCTGCTTCAACTACGTGAGGTTGAAGAATTTATCTCTCGAAGACAAATCTATGCTTCTATCCAAAGCATGCGGGTACAGATATAACAATATATCGAGCTTTAGCAGACATATAATAACTCTTACCAACCAGGTAGCTAAGGATGAAACGCTTAGATATGACCGAACTGAACAATCCATCGAATATTGGAACATCGAACTTTGGAGACAAACTATCAGGTTGCTTCTGTCAATTGGCGCGGACCCAAACGCGAAAGTCCGGACATTTTGTGTCGGCGTTTTAACTGTATCACCAACTCCGTTCCACAAATTTCTGGGTGCCGTTACCAATGAATTATCTTCGCATGGGAAGCCGTCCTATCTTAAGTTACTAGAATGTTTGCAGGACTTTGAACATGACAAGATCGACTGGGAGACCCCACTGTACTTTGGTACCTCATATAAAAGCATATCGCGGCCGAGTCGGCGTAGATTTGAATATCCCCAATCACCGGTTAGATTACACTCCTGGACAAGCGTCTTTACGATATCCCCGGGTTGGTTGCACAATTTTCTAGGTAGGTTTGATCCATCTATTATGAAGGGCCAAAAAGAAGCCGAAATTGAGAAAGAGCTAGTTAACGTCGAATTCGACGTTAAATGTGTTGTGGTAAAATGTGAAAGGTGGGTGTGCGGCTTTCGACCTCCTGACCCGAATAAAATCAAAGAGACACAGCAGTTCGAAGCGATCATTAAGAGGGCCTATTTAAAGTGGTTGTATGGTTTGGTTGGTGACGTCGATAAGAAAGAAATGTATGAGTCGGTTAGGGAATATATGAAGCCTGAGTAGGTATATACCTGAGCTTTGTTAGGTTATTATGTCGCCGTTCATCGCATCTATTGGTCTCACAGCATCATCAAAATCATCATGTTGCTGCTGCTAGGAAACCATATTCAAAGCAATTCTGGTCGTTTAGACACCTATCTATGCCCCCGATCTTTAGCGAGTGAACCAGAGCCGCGATAACGAGTATGGCAAGGTCGACCACCCTTTCGCGACGGGTAAAGCTGTTTATATGAACAAGTCCTTCGATATCGTGTATCAGGCGCAGGAAGGGAAGTTTCGTTACATACAGTAACTGGGATGAAATTCCAAGTTTTGCATTCGTTTATGAAAAGGGCAGGGAGTGCTATTCGGTCAACATTATCACCAGCACTCGATTTTCGTCCCTCTCGCTTCAGAACTGGTGGGATATTGTGGCGCATAGTTTTTATGTGAAGGCATCTGTCAATTCGAGATTGAAATATGACAAATGCGCCTAAATTTACAGGGCTATAAACGCTGTAATTCTAGAGGGCTTTAGTGGAGTACTGTAGAACGCTGTATTTATGGGGGGTAAGCGCTATAAACCTACCTAGCAGCTATTGGAAGAATCGTTGCTTAAAATCCGATATCTCCGGAAATTTGTCACGTGCTCTAGGTGTGTTACGTCGATATCTTAGGTACCTAGAATAGCCACTAATACGTTATCGGTTAGGCTAGTTATAGTGGGAGTCTTTTTTCGAATGATCACCACCAACTCTGCATAATTTCTATCGGCGCGAGGCGAATTCATTCCATTTGTCATCACCACTTCCCAAACACCAAAAAAAGCTTACCGACACATCACGGCGGCAACCTTTAAGTCGACAACCGCTCTCGCCCGCTTTACTAGCGGTTGTCGCACCCATGAAATAATACGACCCGCGACATTTCCCATTCCTCCGAAACCCCCTCCAAACCACCCGCCTTTTCAAGCTACCGGCTTCTGGTCTTGCCCACCATGTCAAGCTTATTAAGGCGGTCGGCCGGTCTTGCGCGGGTCGCTACCTTTTCATTCAACACTCCAGCCCGATCAAGCATACGGACCACCCGTCTATTACGAAGCACAAGACCTATTTGGTCCGTTCAACAACCTCGATACTATTCCCAGGATAAGAAACCCGAGAGCTCCGACGATAAAGATGGAACCCCTCCACCGAAAAGTTCCAAGTCCAAGCCTCAAGTACAGAGTTCGGGATCACCGGGTCCGACGGAGGGTAACGCACCGGGAGCGTCCGGTGCGGAAAAGGATGACAGATTCCCGCTGCCTGAGGGCTGGGTGCACCTCAACGAAAAAGAGTATCAGCTTGTCGAAAAAATACTTCGTGCTGGACCTCTTCCTCTACAGGATGATATGATCAAAATGGTGAAGCGAATAGGTGTACCAAAATCTCTCCTTGACGTCATCAAAAGACAGGAAGAAGGCACAGCTTCATTTGGTGACATTGGCAGGACATTTAAGAGTCTCAATACCTTAGCTTCGAGGATAGCAGAAGTTGAAATGCGGGAAAAGTCCCAGGAGTCACCTGATAAGCCCGTCTCAAACGAGCCTCGAAGGAGAACGAGAAGCCAACTCGAAAAACCACAAGAAAAGCCACAGGAAAAAGAACAGGAAAAGGAACAGCAAAGCGATGAACAGAACCCTAAGCAGGGTGAAAAGGGTTTCAGCGGGTTTGACTCAAATAAAAAGCCGCCCCCAGGATCCGAAAATAACAACAACAACAATCCCTTAAAAGGAAACGACTGGCTGACGACGATTATCGGCTCGGCCATTGCTTATTGGATTTACAGCTCTTTATTCGAGGAGAGTGGCCGAGAGATCACATGGCAGGAGTTAAGGAAGAACTTCCTAGACAAGGGTCTGGTTGAAAAAATGGTTATTCAGGGTCATCGAGTCCGTGTTGAACTCAACCGAGATGCAACTCAATCAATGTACCCCGATTCGGTTGCAACTCGCCCTGGTTTTAGCTACTATTTTTCTATCGCTTCCCCCGAGGCCTTCGAGAGGCGTCTCGAAGAAGCTCAGAACGAGCTTGGAATCCCTACCAATGAAAGGATTCCCGTAAGTTATGCCCCTGAAAGCCCAGTATTGAACCTCGTACTGGCATTTGGCCCTACGGTAGTGCTGGTCGGACTTCTTTACTGGGCTTCACGACGTGGTCCTGGTGGCGCTGGCGGCGGGACCGGTGGCGTTTTTGGTTTCGGCAAGAGTAAAGCGAAACGCTTTAACCACGAGACCACTATCAAAGTTAAGTTCTCAGATGTCGCCGGCATGGACGAAGCCAAGCAAGAAATCATGGAATTCGTTAGCTTCCTCAAGAAGCCAGAAAGGTTTCAAAGACTTGGCGCAAAAATCCCTCGTGGTGCAATTCTCGCCGGGCCTCCTGGTACAGGTAAAACATTGCTTGCAAAAGCCACTGCAGGCGAATCAGGAGTACCATTTTTCAGTGTGAGCGGATCTGAATTCGTCGAGATGTTTGTTGGTGTTGGTGCATCCCGAGTCCGAGATCTTTTTGCTACGGCGCGAAAACACACACCGTGCATCGTCTTCATCGACGAAATCGATGCCGTTGGTAGATCTCGTTCAGAGGGGCAGCGATTCGGAGGGAACGACGAACGAGAAGCTACTCTTAATCAAATTCTCACGGAAATGGATGGCTTCAACACGACTGACCAAATTGTTGTTCTTGCTGGTACCAACCGAGTCGACGTCTTGGATAAGGCGTTAATGCGGCCTGGTCGATTTGACCGACATATCAATATTGATGCCCCAACGATGGCAGGACGGCAAGACATCTTCAAAGTATACCTCAAGAAAATTGTGACGAACGAAGAGATAGAATATCTAAGCGGCCGACTTGCGTCTCTAACACCAGGATTTGCTGGTGCAGATATCGCAAATTGTGTAAACGAAGCCGCTCTCATTGGTATGTTTATCTGTTTCTTTGACAATGATTTTGCGTACTAACATTCAAATAGCTGCAAGAAATAATGCTACATCAGTCACATTACCACACTTTGAGCAAGCTATTGAACGTGTCATCGGCGGTCTTGAGCGCAAGTCCCTCGTTCTTAACCCTAAAGAGAAGAGGACGGTAGCCTATCACGAAGCCGGACACGCTATTTGCGGCTGGTTCTTCAGATATGCCGACCCACTCCTCAAGGTTTCGATTATACCTCGTGGTAAAGGTCTAGGATATGCACAATATTTGCCAGGAGATGCGTACCTCATGACTTCGGAACAATTAATGGACCGGATGGCTATGACGTTGGGAGGCCGAATTTCAGAAGAACTTCACTTCCCTACAGTAACGACGGGAGCTAGTGACGATTTTGACAAGGTGACACGAATGGCGACAGCCATGGTAACACAATGGGGCATGTCAGATAAAGTTGGGCCACTACATTTCCGAAACGACGAAAGTAGAGTGTATAAGCCATTCTCGGAGGGAACAGGCCAAGTTATTGATGCGGAAGTAAGACGCATTGTTGAGCAGGCCTATAAGAAGTGCAAGGATCTTCTCCTAGAGAAGAAGAAGGAGGTGGGAATTGTTGCAGAGGAGTTGCTAAAGAAAGAGGTGTTGGTTCGAGATGACATGGTCCGATTATTAGGACCTCGACCGTTCGACGACCCAGACGATTTCAGCAAATACTTTGGTGGTGACAAGCAAGCACCACCAGGTCCTCCGCCGCCACCAGCAGCACCCGAGCTTCCCGATGCTCCTGAGCCCCCAGTTAGCCCTGCACTATTCAGGGACATTAACGGCGAAGATAAAAGATAACACTTATGTATATAAACTTAGGGGGGTACATCTTCGACCGGGAGCTGTTGAGGGTTATCGTTATGCTACGTAATGACTTAAAGCTCTCAGCTCATCTTATGTGTTATATTTACTGACGAGAGGAAGGTCGGGACAAGAAGAAAAAGGAAGAAGCACCCCATTCTCGTCACAATCTGCATATACTGTACAAATACTAGATAGAAAACTTATAATCGCAAGGCATCGGAGTTTGGAAGTTGGAAAAGAGAGTTTTCAATGGACAATGCCGATGACGCAGTCTTGTCGCCCCCACAAAAAGCCGTTGCTCGCCCATGCTCACTCACTCTCATCAGATCTATTCCTTTATGGTAATGTACCACCGCTAAGTTGCCCCCGGCCTCTGTGGGGAAAAGAAACGAATCGGCGAGATTAGGACTAAGCCAAGTAGAGCTACTACGTCAAGGTTCTTTGCATATGTAAGTACATCTCGCATTTGGTGAAGTAATTGTAGATTTTTTTTCTCTCCCTTCTTCTTCAATTACACCGCCGGTCTAACTTTGTTAAATTGATTGGTATTTTTACTCATGTGGTGAACCATTCATGTTACGCTGTTGGGCCTCACAAGACGCGGTTTTTCTAGATCATGTCGCTTAAGTCTAGATCTATGCTCTACTTAAGCTAACGATTCATTGACGCTTGTCTCTTGGTTGGTTAAACCTTCAGGACGAATCGGATTTTTATATATACATTGGTCGAGCTATATTATATTGATTTGTGCGGATGGCATCCCGGCTTTGATTAGTTGATTGGATTCGTGCTGGATGTTGGTACGAGGTTCTTGGGTTTTAATTTTTTGTTTTGAAGAGACTGATACAATATGTCGCGAACTACTGACTCGCTGACTTTTCCGACGGCGATGCATTCTTCTGGAAGCGGCCACGGGGGAACGAATGAACCCGGAGGGGCGGGAGCCGCAGCCGGTCCGTCGTCGAACGGAGGAGTTCGGCGTTGGGCGAGGTCGCTCTTGCCGTCGCGCAATGCCGCCGACTATTACCATGGCAGTCGCTCCGGCGCTAATAGTAGGAGCTATAAAGCTGATAGCTGGTGGAAGATACACTTCTTCCGCGGTATGATCAACGATCTGCGTCGCCGTGCACCATATTATTGGAGCGACTGGCTTGATGCTTGGGATTACCGTGTCGTGCCGTCGACAGTATACATGTACTTTGCTAAGTACGACCCTATCCCGCCTATTCCATTCCCTGTTAATCAATTTACTACGATACTACTGTATCCTATATAAGAGTTCTTAGAGAGAGAGAGAGAGAGAGAGCTAATCGTGAGCTTCTTCTAGTATTCTACCCGCATTGGCTTTCTCATTGGATATGTTCACGAAGACGAATATGCAATATGGCGTGAATGAAGTATTGCTGGCGTCTGTTCTTGGTGCGGTGGTTTTCTCTATATTGGCGTGCCAACCGTTGGTGATTGTGGGAGTTACAGGTCCTATTACGGTGTTTAACTAGTAAGTCATGTCTGACGCATTAGCATGGCTTTACTGACCAAATAAATCCAGCACGGTTTATGATATTATGAGGCCTACGGGAACTAACTACCTGGCATTCATGTGTTGGATTGGACTGTGGTCTCTCGTATTCCACTGGATTCTCGCCGTCACCAACTCGGGTAACTGGCTGCGCTATGTGACACGGTTCCCCTGCGATATTTTCGGCTTCTACGTCGCTTTTATATACCTGCAGAAGGGCATCCAGGTGCTTGAACGTTTCGGCGACCAGGCCCCTTTTTACCTCTCCCTCGCAGTGGCCCTGCTCGTCTTCATGATTGCGTACGCCTGCGGTGAACTCGGCGGGTCCCCCTTATTTCGCCATCCTGTGCGTGTCTTCCTAAAGGACTACGGTACCCCTCTTACTGTTGTCTTCTTTACTGGATTCGTGCACCTTGGACGCATGAAGACAGTTGAGCTAGAGAGGCTACCTACTACAGCTGCTTTCTTTCCTACGGCTGATAGGGGCTGGCTTGTTCGGTTTTGGGATATTGATGTTGGTGACATATTCATTGCTATTCCATTTGCTGTCTTGCTCACGATATTGTTTTATTTTGACCACAATGGTAAATTTAATGAACATTCACTTCCTTGATTAGGGGGAAGGCTACAGAAACTACGAATAGACAAGCTGATACGAGAAATAGTATCCTCCCTCATAGCCCAAGGCACTGAGTTCCCTCTCCGCAAACCCGCCGGTTTCCACTGGGACCTGTTCCTCCTAGGCCTAACCACAGGCGTCGCCGGCATCCTCGGTCTCCCCTTCCCAAATGGGCTCATCCCCCAAGCCCCATTTCACACCGAATCCCTCTGTGTGACAAAAGTCGAAGCCGACACCGAAGAAACCAACGGCGAAGCCAAGGGTCACTACGTGCTCAAACGAACACACGTAGTAGAACAACGCGTGTCAAACCTAGCGCAGGGCCTTCTAACCCTAGGAACCATGACCGGCCCTCTCCTCATCGTCCTCCATCTAATCCCACAAGCCGTGCTAGCAGGTCTATTTTTCATAATGGGATACCAAGCCCTCGAAGGCAACGGCATAACCGCTAAAATCCTATTCCTCCTCCGCGACCGCACCCTCACACCTGCCGGTCACCCGCTTTCCCGTATTCCGCGGCGGTCGGCGGTCTGGGCGTTCGTGGCGGTTGAGTTATTAGCTTTTGGCGCTACGTTTGCGATTACGCAGACGGTGGCTGCGGTCGGGTTTCCGGTCGTTATTTTGGCGTTGATTCCGGTTAGAGCGTTGGTTTTGCCTAGGTTGTTTACGCGGTTCGAGTTGGGGATCTTGGATGCGCCGACGGCGAGCCCGTTTACGATGGAGAGTGTGGGCGGTTCGTATGCGGCGGCTGCGGCTGCTCCTGCTGGTGGCGATGTGCAGGAGGTTGTTCGGGGCGGGGTTGTTGAGGGTGGGAGTGGGAGTGAGGAGGTACTCGCTGAGGAGGGACGGGGTCGTGCGGTCGAGGATGTAGGACCGTATGGGGAGATTGAGATGGGTCGGCTGGGTGTTAGTCGGAGAGGTCAGGCGAGTCGGAGTGTTGCTCGGGAGGAGAGCGAGTGAAACTTAGTATGAACGTTCGCATGTAATGTCTTGAAAACTGGGCAGTAGGTATCAATCCTCTCCAGAGCGGCCTACATTAGACGGTGGTATTGTAGATAGAATTCAGGATACATAGAATCAAAGGGAGACTGCAAATACCTGAATCCACCCGGATTTGACCCTAAACCCTACCGTCGGATTCGATTTGAATATCTCGGTGAGCTGGAGTAGTAAGTATTCCTAAAAGCTGTTGTACAGATCTACATAGACCCCATATCGTAGAAATAAAAAATAGGAATCTCCGACGCAAGCCATAAAGGCGCCGTCGTACTCGTACACTCTCCATAAATTCGACATCATTTCAATTTTCTATCTAGTCTAGTAAGCAGAAAGCGATGCTAGAGATTGCGCGATGATCAATTTTCTCCTTTTTCTATGGCTAGTGTGGTACGGACGGTAGTAAACGGTAACATGATCGGAAAGGTTTGCAATAAGGTACATCTTACCGCTAAATTGGAGGATATAGGAGGAGTAAAAGCGTACGTAGATGTGATGTTCCTTCCATGCCGGCTTGGGAAGCCCCCTACTGTATACCCCCTATTTCAATTAGAGAAATGGATGTCTTCTCTCCTCATTCTTTTACTCGGACTTCTCTACCTAGCTATAACCTTTTTGTCTTTCTATCTGTTCTGTTTAGGCCGACCTATAGGACGATGGAGCATCTTGTAGCATTCTCGATTGTGATGGTGTAGGTGTGTGACCTATGGAGCATAATATTGGTTCCAATTCCGCTACGACAATCCAATCACTTTTCGGTCAAGGTATCTTCAAGGGTGTACTTCCATGCTAGGTAAACGATTTTCGAAGAATGTTCTGCGTTGTTGGATCTGCTGGGAGTGGTTGGATACCACTTGAGGGCTGTCTAAGGCTCGCCTAGTAAACAGAGTTAGTCGGACATCCGAAAAGTCAAAGCACAAGCCCAAAAACCTGTAGCTCCTCCCGCATAGTCGTTGGAACAGGAAATATGGAGATATATTGACGTTCTCAGTCTGTTTCCAGTCTGACTATTGGAGGAGGCGACTCGGAAAGATCTTCGGTTTGCTGTGCTTGGATTCGGCTGGGAAAGGGGTAAAGTGAAGACAACAACGATAGAAGCAAATATACCTACACTTCACAAACTATAGGGACGGTTAATTATAAAAGCCTAACATATTTATATCGCCGCGTTGTTGGATTTTATCGTGGCGCTCTAAATCGAGCGAATCGTCGCGAGTAGATCTGCAGTGCCCCCTTTAGAGATTCTCGTAGCACAAACCCAGCGATTTTTACACACAGTTTCCGACTTATGAAGGAACCGTAGGTTTTTATGACATATTATGACGATGAAATAAACCAGCGCGTTATTTTATTCATTTCTAAATTCTATTTCGAGCCTGTGCTACGAATTGCTCTCCTTAAACGACTCAATCGCATCTGACCGGTTCCTGAGTTCGCCTGTCTGTTGGGCTGGTTTCTACATGTGATAGGGCCGTTAACTGCTTTACCCGCACTTCTAGGGCCACGCCTTATAGGGGCGAGGCCCTCTATTCATATGAATTTGTAAATTGGCTTCATTAAGAGGAGCACATGTCTGTCTATTAGAGCTCGCATGTTTAATAATTACTATAGACGTTGATGCGAATCTATCGTTCGCCTATCTAAGAGATTCTCTAACTTCTACTTGGTCGAATCTATAACTATTAGGGTCCGTAGGTGCTCGTACGTACTGAATCCTTCATAGGACTGGCCACATTAGCCCCTTCCTTGTTGTAAGAGGGAAAATTGCTGAAAGTAGCCGAAACATCGACTCCATTTCGTGCTTCCCCCCTTTCCCATAGGCGACGGCAGTAGTAGGTATCATCGCTACGACGGATAAACGCTGCTCTTTCGTCAGGTCCTCCTCATCCTTCCCTTTTCTGTTTTCCTGACGGTTTCCAAACCATGAAGACCCATTCTACCGTTTCGACTCCGTCGTCTTCGTTGCGCCTAGGGACTTAGCACTACGTAAAACAAAGACAATGGGCGACTGCCGTGCTAGCTTCCCCTCGATCTCGATATGAGCCGGTGCACTTAGGGCGGCTAGCGGAGGTAGTAGGGGGTTGGTAAGAATGAGAAAGATGGGGCTTGGGAGTAGGAGCGCGGCAGCCCAAGCGGAGCTGGAATGGGACGTCTACATTGGGTTTCCAAGCACATGTGTTGACCCCCCATGGCTCATTCTCACGTAGAAACACCGAGTTTCTGGCCGCTTACCTGCTTGTGACTGGTAGTTGCTAGCCCCCTGCCCCTTTTGAACGAACGGGGGTTACAAGCCATCGGGAGGTGAGTAGTAGTGCGTACGGTAGTCTATCCTGCGTCTCGTCTGTTTTCCCCACGCTAGAAGGTCGTGTTAAACTAAGTAGAAGTCCTGCAGAGCACTTTAAACATTAGAGACATTGCCCAGGTACTCGCGCTATGCTGCTAGATAGATAGGTAGATAGATGAGCCAACCCCCGCGCTGCAGCTTCCCAGTCGCCCCCGGATTCCAAGACACATGCTCTAAACTAGCTCGTCTCCTGGACGAAGGGAAATGCCCGGGGGCACTCCTCGGAGCCGCCACGGGGATTCGCAAGCATTGGAGGATGAACTAATTTCCTTGTAAGTAGTACACGGGTGGAAGTATGGCGCGCCAGACTTCGATAGACCTAAATGTACACCGCAGCAGACCCTGGACCAAGCCTCCTGCGGCGTGGTTATTTCCCCATGCGGGAGCCTACTTGGAGAGGGCGCAATTATCGACTCATAAAACACTCGGCTTCTAACTATAGATATTATCAGGGGCTTGGTCGCGAAGAAAAAAAAGTTTACATGTCGCTGTTTCCGGTGGCCTACTCTTGCAAGCCTGCAGACTAGGGTCTGCTGTCGGCGAAATATAAATCGCATGGCATCATCGCGTGCTAAGAGCAACCATTACCATAACCGCAATGCATGGGAAATGGGGACAGGCAGGGCGCGGCTATAAGACAATGTAGGCCAACCTAGTTGCAATACAGCCGAGTCGGGTACCCAGGAAAATACGTGGAAGAACCGGGCCACAAACAAAGCCCGCAGACGCCAACAGCTGCACGGTTATCGTCATCCATCTGCAAGGAGGAGATTACAATCTAACCCTCCCAAACTGGTGGCGTGATACGATCTGCTGGCAAAGTCGAAAGATATGTAGTAGACAAATGCAAAAGACACGAGATTTTGACGCGCAAGGGCGCCAGAATTCGGGCCCGCGACCGGGCTCACGGCCGAAGTGGCTTGCCCCTCGGCGCGGCACGCTGCTCGTATGGGCAGCCCTGGCGGCGCCACTCGTTTCAGCGCTGTCCCTTCGAATTACAAACCGACATCCTACCTAGGTACTAGCAAATTTTCGGTAAATCCTTTGGGGTAGGTCACAGCAGCGAGTAACAGTAGTATAGGTACACAAATGAGATAGCCAGGGGGGAACAGGACCTGCGTCCGACAAGCCACTCAGACGATTTTTTTCTCTTCACCAACCTAGCCTACTGCTGGCTAGAAAAGATAGGTAGTTTACGATACTGTGCATACCCACTAAGAAGTAATCTCAGCTCCTGGTGAAAAAGAAGAAAATAAGTGCCGAACTGCATCTAGGCTCCAGGAACCGGTTTCTGGAGATCGTCCTTCCGGGGCCCCGACATCTCCTCTGTCGACCCTTGACTATTTCGGAAATTTCCACTGTCGTTCGACATCGTGGAATCCGGTTCGCCTACCCCTTATGCGGCGTCCCTTGTTCCCTTCCTTCCCCTCAGCCAGCTTCATCGTATGAAGGAGCAGAGAAGTATGTATGCTTTATTCGCTATTTGTTTGTTCCCCCACAGCTGCTGCGCCGGAAAATTTCTTCCTGGATAGGCAAACCTATGGGGTCCAGTCAGGCCAGACCTAGTTATCATCGTCTCGGCTCTCAAGCTGGCTGGCTGGCCCCCAGGGGGGACCCCATCCATATGTTGTCATTCCACACCTTTTGCCTAAATGGCGGGCGAAGTCTCATCCTAGCGAATCTAGGCGGTTCCTGGCCTGTAGGCTAGGAGCTTCAATGGCCGTTGAGCGAGGCTTCTTCGGTGTTCAAGGCTGAAATTTCCGTCTAGTTTTCTGATTGTCTTGTCTTACTTTTTTTCGCCTTCAATCTACGAGTGTGTAGAGGGGCATATCTAAGGGGTGGAGGCAGATCTAAATCTTAGCGGTCCATCCGTGGTCAACGTCAGATCCGTCAGCCGGTAAGGATTTTGCTGAGTCATTTTCTATATTATAGATACGTGCGCGAATGATAATTTGTAGATCGGAAATTGCAAGCGAAGTCATGAAGTAAGCGAGCCTAGAACGCCATCGAGCCTGACTAAAATGATCGTCTTCCTGGATTTCTCTCTGCACACCCGTCACCGTGCATTCGTGCGTACCTACTGAAGAAGCACACGGTGAAGATGCAGGAGGTATGTAAGTATTTATGTAGGAGGGTACAATTACATGGCATCCTGTACTATGTATCTACTTTCACGGTACATAGTTGGCCTACCTTAGTAACCTACACGTACGGAAAAGGACAAGGCTATGACGGGATTGGAATCGCTGCATCTCAATAGGGGAAGTCAAGATTCAAGGAAGACTTGGATGGAGTGGAATGAGTGGGGGCTATAACAGCACATCTTATAGCCCTGGCCTTTCGGCTGCTACGGCCAGGTGCATAACACGAACCAAACTGTTGTGTCAGTCGGGTCCGCGGACTTTGATTGACAGTAATCAGTTAAATCTGTTCGATCAAGATTCAATCGTCCAGAACCGATCGACGACGCGCGCTTGCGGCTGTGGCTGAAAAAGAAAAAGGAAAAATTAGAGGGGGTGTGTAGACCGGTTCTGTCTAAGCGTAGGCGTATCGTGGCCGCAAAAACGGGAGAATAACAAAAGAACACGACAGAGCTAAGAGTCTCCAAGACGCAGAGACACGTTGACTAAGTCGAACTGCAGTCAGATTCGGCCGTCGCTGATGTTGTATGCAGTCTGCATAGATACGTAGGCATGGATGGATGGAAAGAAATCCGTGAACAAAACACAACAATAACGCCAAAGCCAACGTAGCTAGGTAGCTACCTAGCCAGGTAGGTAGGCACTGTGGGTGCTCATCGTCGATGCTCATCGACGCAAGGCTAGACCGAGAGATTCCGACGGGTACCGAAACAGCAGAGAAAAAGAAAGAAAAAAAATGAAGGAAATTAAACCCTCGTCTGCAACGCCGACGTTGTCTTGTCTCTTGTCTGTGCAGAATGACGCAAAGATCATCCTCGTCGCTTTTTTATAATACTCAGACATAGAAAAATACACTACCGATGCTGCGCTGTCCGGCGCCTAGTCCCGAAGGAGCTGGGCGTTAAACGTACCGTCTAGCCAAAAATATCGGAGCGATCTTAAGCGTCGTAGCGCAGCTGTCTGTTCTGTCTTGGGCACGGTCGTTGTACCGGGAATCCTTGGCCGGAATCTCAATCTGCCCTAGGCTAAGCTTCGACATATAGCTTTGCCGGCGAGCGACGGGTGCGGCATCTGCAGTGCAGCATGACATGTAGGTATTGATGTGAGTAGGAGGCAGGAGGTAGGTTATGTTGAAGACACCTTTGCATTCAATAATACTATGTTGCTAGGTATACCCAGACACGTATCTATACATGCCTTTCGTAGGGTACGCTGTCGTATAGGTAAGTACTAGGGCTAGCATGTAAGTAGGTAGATGCTTGCTTGCTTCGCTTGCCTGACGGGAACATCCCTCTTTCTCCTCGAAGGTTGGGAGAAGTACGGCCGTCCAACTGAATCCTTCCCGTGCCCGAAGATCTGAGCCAATCGTTATGTCGTGGCATCTGGCACAGCGTATTTGGGGCCCCTTGTACTTGTCTTCTACAAGAACTAAGATCCAGCTCCCGACAGGGTCTCACTGCGGCGCTGTTTATGTACCTAGGTAGGTCGGTATGTACATTGGACATTCCTTTCGTCTCCTGCATAGGTAGCGTAGCCTACCTACCTAGGATTTGGTGGAGGGTCGCACCAAACGCAGCAGCCGTCATAAATCCCATCCCTTTCGTATGCAGCGGGCTGCGTCTTGTGTAACCCATCAAATGCAGTTGTCAGCTTTGGGATCTTTTCTAACCCTTATTGGCCTTTTTTATGAAATACCCTGGGTGCATCCATGTAACGCAGTGCTAATTACCTTACCTAACCTTCATTCAAGCTGTTACCGCGCGTTTCGCTATCTGTGCTTTAGGTATACTGTCAGTGTAGATGGAAGATAGGAACATCCCAGGGGGTTCGGAGACGTTCTCCTACGATGAAGGAGTGCGAGAATATGATTGATAGGGATCCCGAACTCGCCGATTGAGACCCCTGGCAGTTGGTTTAGGGTCGGCTTTTGTTTGTTAGGTGTGTAATGGGGGTTCCTTGTTCCCCGTCTTGCCTATTTAGTATTATGAGCGAAAAAAAACACACACAACTAGGTATGTAGAGATTCGTAAGGATTTTTTTTTCTTTCTCTTTTTTCTCATACAGGTAAGATAAAACCTCTTCCCCTGGCCGGAACAATCCCGCTTTTCCCTCTACGCGAACAACACTGCCCACCCGGAAATAGACTCAAGGCAAATAATAAACAGGGAGAAAGTTAGCGGTCTGGCGCCTGCAATGTCGCATCGAACGACGCCTGGTAGGGAGGACCGTCTGTGTTAATTGCTAAAACGTGTTCGGGGAATTATGAGTGGAACGAGATCTCCCCAAGACGAGATTTACCATCTATCGGCGTTACATTCCGATTTTAGGGTCAAAACCCTCTTTCTCCACGCTGCTACGACTTGATCATGTACGCTATAAGGCAGGCGAGCAGACAACCTAGCGTACTGTAGTAGTAGTAAGCTGGGGCGCATACCTTCGGTAAGTGTTTGTCTAGTTGTCTACGTTGAGCCGTCTAAGCCACCGCGCAATACCGGGTGAGAGGCTTCGTGCCTTACTAGTCGTGAGCCTCAACACAGATCTATGGGGCTTGCGGAGAAGGTTAGAATTTGGAATGCAGATCGGTACCAAGCTTCAAATAGGAGGTATGTAAGGCATGTAGTAATCCGACTTGCTTGTCGCTATCGTGTGGATCCCGCGCAAAGAGAGCAAATATCAAACTAAGCCTTCACGCAAATAACTTGACACTTTGATGAGGTTGTTGATCACCAGCCTGATTCGCCTTTGCGAACCAGGAGCTTACATTGACCACGATCGAGGAGGTTGTCTATGTACAGCCCCAAGGGCAAAAGGTACTACTAGTTTTGCGCGCGTCAAGCGGTGTAAAAGTATGCTCGTTCGAATTTCGCCCATCTTCCCATCTTGATCACACGGCCTTCCATTTCCTAGTCGCACTAAGTGTACCCCCTACCACCAGAATGTATGTATGTTGAGTTATGATATGTTCTTTTTATCAAGCCATAAACAAAATTCATTCTGACTGATCTGACCTCACCACCACTAATACCAAAAAAATACTTCAACACTCCCAATAAAACCAATTGTGACGCTGTGACACATCCGCGCCGAAAATGCAACGGAACAAGAAAAAGAAAAAGGTATATAGTAACACATGGTAGTCTAATAAAGTCCACACAAAATTTTGGGTATTATTTTCGAATAGAACCAGAAGAGCGCCACGTTGATTTCGGGTTTCCGTGTCAACTCGCTTCACGTTTGGGCTTGGGCGTTTCGTAGGTCGTTAGTTTGGAGGTGAGGCGTCCTTCAGCTCGTGTGTCCGTAGGGTTGAGAAGTCTGCGCCGGGCCAGGAGTATGGCCACCTTGCGAAAGACTGAAAGAGCTTCGCTTCCGCTTTAATCCAGAGCTAGATCCACCTAGTCCTTCTTGTGAATAGTCCTCGCTTCTTTCATTAGACCCTTGCCCCTGGTTAACACCCAAGGGGCCACCGCCAAATGTGTCCCTCATAGGTGTTCTAGTGCCGTGTAATGCTTGAGTGAAGTCCTGCGGAGGCGCGATGGGTGCGCTCATCTGTGGCATTGAATAATCTTGGACGGAGGTCCTGTTAATCCCTGGCGTCCTGGAAAGTGGAAAATCGATTGGTGCTGTTAATGGAGCAGATGGAAAGCTAGTGGTGTATGCAGATGATGAACCGTAAGGCGTAGTAGTAGCCACTCGAGGTGTTGAGGAGTGGCTAGGAGACTGGAGACTATGGCTAGATGACATAGGTCGGTATTGGTGTCGTAAATCGAGGCCGAGTGGAAGATTCGCAGAAGCCGCCCTGAGGCGCGACCTGTTCTGTGAAGGCTGCTGCAAGCTCGAATAATTAATGTTGGTGGGGGAAGATTGGACGCCCGAAGCTGTAGAACAAGTCAACAATCGGAGCCCGAATGGTTAAAGTGGTGATTCCTACAGGAATAAGAACTAGAGTCGTAGTTCATCGAACTACCTGGGTTACTACTCATCTGGTCGGATTGGTAAATAGATTGATGCCTCCCACCAATCCCGGGGCTGCCGCTAGTGCCCGGGTACGTAGTGTAATCGATAGAATCCCCTTTCCATGACATACTCGAGCGTAAAGGTGATTGCAAATTGTCTGGTCTTGATCTCGACATCGTTTCTCGCAGTTGGAGAGGCTGTAGAGGGCGAATTTGTTGCCTGTTTTGCGGGTGCATCTGGACCCCGGAATCAAGACTACCCTGCCTAGCAAAAGGGTTCGAAGTTCTGTGACCTCCTCCAAGTGGGCTCGTCAAATGGCTTGAATAGTACCCCCGGTCGTTCGAAGACGTTGACAGTGGTGAAAGAAGATCGGAGTTGCTCATTGTTCCTGAAGGGTTGAAACCAATACTTCCAAAGGCTGGGCTTAGTCCAGTAGAGGACATGTGGTCTTCGTTCTCGCCTCTTCGCATGGTGTCCACCATCAATGGCCGCATCATGTGCTCCGCATATGAAGAAGTCCCAAAGTCGACGGGAGGAGTAATTGGCGTCCCCAATCCATGGACTGCCCCGTAAGGTGAATGCAGTGCCTGAACATTATCAAAGTCGTCTGGCACAGCACGCATTTTGATCATTCGATCCCGATCATCAGCTGTAAGTCGCTTGATCTTCGCTCTCCTGCGAATTGTTTAGGTTTCTTCCTAGAAAATAATATCTAGAAGTCTTACCTGTTTTGAAACCAGACTTGAACCTGCCTCGGGCTCAAGCCTGGGATCTCCCTCGAAAGCCGTTCTCGGTGTGCAGCATCTGGATGGGGCTGCTTCGCGAACTCACTCATTAAAAACCGAGTTTGTTGGTGTGTGAGCCTGTTGGTGTCAGCATGGCTTACTTGAATTTAAACCATTTTGTTGTCTCACCTAAAACGCTTCATTTTCCTGCGAGCAGCTGTACGCTCCGCTGCAGTTTGTGGTTGCGTTGTCGTCTCCCCTTCCCCCTCCACCATTTCATCATCTTCCAATACTTCGTCGTCATCGTCTTTTCCTATCGCTGACTCGTCGTTTCCGGTTGGACCAGGGATTGTTTCTTGTCCTTGTCCTGTTGATGATGTTGATCCTATCGTGTTCGGCCCGAGTGGCAGCCCATGGTGGTGATCCGCAGAAGCTAACGACTCTTCGTGGGCGGACTCCGCCTTGATAGCATAACTCGCACCCTGTACGTCAGGTTGTTCTGGCGGGGGAGATTCGGCCTTCGGCTGTCGCAACCCAAGCGGATCTAGTATGCTGCGGTGGTGGTTCATTGGCGAATTTAGACTGCTTTGAGTTGCCTGGTTCGTGTTGTCAAGAGTGCTGTTGTGCGCACTAGAGGGGCGCTGCTGAGAAGGAATGTCATTATTGCTGCTAGAACCCGACACTTGCTCGAAAGGTTGTGCGAAGATGCTGCCCTCTCCAGGAGGAAGAAAGGAGTACTGCCCCTGCCAATCAGGCTGTGTCGACAAGTGGCCGTCGTAGCTCGACATGCGTGGGCTTGTAGGTTTGTGAAAGGCGGTCTCGAACTTGCTAGACCAGTGGTTTTGCTCCGTATCGAGATGCCTGGTAACGAGCATTGGAAATGTTGCAGGGGTTGGGTATCGATGGCGATGTGATTCCAGAAGCTATAGGATTACTTGCCGAAAGTACGTCGTTCAAAATATACCACGAAGGAAACTAAACTTCCACGGTTGATGCTCGACCAGGTGTTAGTAAGACCAGAAGATTTATTTCCCGATCTCGAGGGCAACGGTAATCTCAGCTATCGATACGGCTGCAATACGACCGTCCGGGCCTTTAGTACCAGGGTAGCCTTGGGTGGACTGTAGTTTCTAGGTGTCTTCCTAATATTTTTAGAGGTGAATGCATATGTCTACTAAGGTCTTGTAGAGCTGTTGTCGAAAGTGCAATTTTTTGTGAGTCTGATATAGTTATTCGTTGTTGTTTTCCTCAAGGATCGTCGCGGGAAAAAAAGAACCAGATGGTAACGCTCGGAGCCAGTAGAGTAGGTACTCTTCACCGCTTAGGACCTATTGGATATATATATCGAATCGTCGAAAAGAACGGTTAGGCAACGCAGGTTATAACAATACAACCTTATGGTCAAGTTTTAATGTCACCGACTGGATTGGATGACTAGAAGGTTGCGAGATGTAGACATGAAGCCACCACGTGTATACTAAGAATGTAAAAGGAAGTGTTGCCTTGAAGTTCGTCCGTCTTAGGAATTCTTATGATGAGTCGTGTATAAATCGAGGATCCTCGAATGATGGTCTGGTGGGGTCGGTCGCCTCAAAAATGTCTAGACACTGGTAGGCCCTATGTTATGTATGTATTTGGGCTTTTGGAGGTTGTCCGTGGTCGCAACGAGGCGCCTTTGAGGGAACCCCTGCTCTCGAGGATGACAGAGGTGGAATTAATACCGAACGGTACCGCCCATCCTTACGGAGAAATGTCCAGGGAGGGTCCGAAGAAGGGACAGGGCCTGCACGGGCTGGAGAAAGAAGAGGGTGTTCGTGAATGTTGGGTCAGCCTGGGACGGTACCTGGCCAGATACGGTAGAGATATTGAAAAGGGACTGGATGCACGTTTTAAGGCTTCGTTGACGAGACAGAAGCCGCACTGCTTAATAGGCTAGGTGTGGTAATAAGAAAAAAATCCCCCAGCATGGTAACTAACTGCTGAGCCACACACCTCTTCTGTCCAGTCATGGATGATAGCAGAAGTAGCAACGTCTATATCGAGTGGGCCGTGACCATTGGGTTTTCTCGGCTGAATGGCTAATGCCGTGTTATGGTGGCCTGCCAAAGAACCAACAGACAGACCCTTGCCGTCGCAGGCCCCAACCGGAAACGTCAATAGAAGGACAGTAACTTGCGGGAAGACAGCCGCTAGACTGCCAGGCGTTATTTGTGATCAAACGTTCGAAACTCAACAAGTCTAGGGTAAACTACTTTTTCCCTCTCAACGGCCTGGGTTTAGACGAAGTGGTAGAGATTGGGAAGTATCTGACACGTCCAGGATAACGACGGTAACGAGACTTCTCCGTTAAAGATCGTTCGCACTACCTACCAAGGTACATACCTTGAGCCGAAAAAACTCATGCCATACGTACAAAACTGAGGTACAGCGGTAAGCAGAACCCTCGGAGAGAGGACAGGATAGGGAAAACATAATATCTCGGCTGGGACATCTGGGGGTCAGTCATTGGTCCTTCATTACATTAGCTCAGCGTAGACTTCGCGGATGAACGCATGACCGTTGATGAGACTAGTGGAGGTTCACGCCAATAGGAAGATCAACGCTGCTTGGGTGGGTGTGGTCCTCGATGTCTGCGGGGATGGCCTGAAAGTACACTGGGACCAAGCAGCCTGGGACAGAATGTCTATGTACAATACACATGTACAAAGACTGCTTGGAGGATCGCATCCGAATCGGTAGGGAAGTAAGCCTGCGAATAATGTGGGTCGAATGGTGAGCAAGGGGCATCGATTTGTGATGCTTGCCCTGGCGGTGGCGACAGGGGGTCAAGGGAAGATCCCATAAGATCTTCCTTGCCGAAAGCCCAGTACAATCTATGTACCTCGCACAGACAGAGCGAGCATGCAGAGTACCGTACCTGTCATCGTCCCGCGTTCTGATGCTTATTAAGAATAGTGAGCCGATGTGGACAGATGAGGATTCTGCTCAATGGACCTTGTGATCACGTATAGAAGACGGAATTATAGGTAGGTCGATGTGATGATTTTTTATACTAACGGGAGTAAAATAGGGCCGGCTTCCCAAAACGAGTCTTCCACGCTATGTGCCCAACGAACTTGTTGTGGATAGCGAATGAGTATAGGTGATATTGAGAGAGCTACGGCACCTACCCAATGTAAGGTAAGTAACCAAACTAACAACTTTCAGATCTGGGGGGTCCCGCCATGGGGGGCAAACAAGAGGCGCGCTAGGTGGCTAAACCACAAGGGCCATCCGAGCACTGATGGGGTTGTGGGAATCTGCGCCGAATGAGCCGTAGGCTGATAATGTGTTACCTACAAAAACCAGTGGGTCTCAGTGCAACGGTAAGTAAAGTCAGGTAGTGAGGTAGCAATGCAAGTCTTGATCTCATGAGATTACGGAATCTTAGAAGGAGCCGCAAATGAAAGAAAATTTAGGTATAGAGTAAGATCTAAGTGGAGAGTCTTCCAGGGAAAGAGAGATTTTGACATTTGAAAGTACTCTAACAAGGGCTAGGGATGGCATGAGATGTGTTAAGGGTCTGCAGAGATGGCCCCCCCGATGGGCTTTGTGACGTTGGAAGGATACTCGAAATCTAGAATAGAACTTCAAAAAAGTTTGCTGGCAGATTTGGCTAGACTATTGTAGGGAGGTCTGTGGGTACAAGAAGAACGGAGCAAGCCTCTAGCGTGGGAAGGCTCTGCGGCAAGGATATCAGCCCGTGGTTTCATCACGGGAGGCTGGCTTGAAAGAGGACATGGGTCCCTGCCAGGGTGAACATGAGGATGATGCGATAAGATTGATTTCTCTTTCGGATTGCCGTTCGAGACAGACGAAGGGATTCATAAAACAACGACCAACACTACTGCCAAGAAATAGTTCCTAATGAGTGCCGCAAACTTGAGCTTGGGAGGTTGTAACGAAAGGAAACGACAGATACTACCGACTGAACTGAAAGGTGATCTGTAACAAAAATGGGAGAACTTCAAGCTGTGGAGACACGCGAGAGCCCTTTCATTACCTGCAAGACCGCCCTCATGGAACAGATTGTCTCATACTACTGGCGGGATACGAAAAAGGTCGGCAGCGAGAAACATATCCGGCATCATTGCGTAACTCATGATAGGTACCTACAACCTAACCTATAGATGTTAGGTATGCCGCCATGCATGCAAGTGAAAGAATCCTAGGTCCCGGTGCTGTGGGATTGCTCACTAGAAGACATTTGTGATATATTCTTCCTTTGTCGCGACTGGCGCGCGGGGTGAGATGGGTACCCTCCTTCTAATCCCGATATATACCTAATCTTGGTTGAGGAGCGTAGGATCTCAAGCCATACACCATCATCATGGCCATTTATCAATGTCATTATCACCACCACCACACCACCAGATGAAGCGGTGAAGACAGCGACCTCGATACCTGTTTTTTTCGTTTCCAAGAATAGGGAAAAGAAGGTTAAGAAGCGTGGGATACAGCACATATGCGAGTGTGATGGAGGGGGATTAGCGGATTGGGCTTTGATCATTTCAGATCACATTGGCAATTCCAGGATAAGTCTCACAACTAGTAGATGTACCTGCATACCGGCGTGTCGGGTCGCTTCTCCGGAAGTACAATGTACATGACATGGTTTATTGGCATCTGAGCGAGCATCTGTGCTCATTGATTGGCATCAGCATCATCTCTCTAGCACAGACCTATCGATGTCTTGCAGCACGGGGTGGCTGAGCATGGGACAACCCTCAAGACTTCGCTATGGTTAATCTTTAGTTCCTCGCTGTTAGAAGCTATTAATACCTTATTTCTACTACATTCGGAATATCAATAAGCACCCCTTTTGGTTTTCAGTCTTATACCAGGTACTGGGGTTTATGTCACAATATACATAAGGCACTTTCTAGCTGCGTCTAAACTTAACCCACGAAGAAGATGCTATTTGCTGTTATATTTTTCGGTTTCAAGATTATAGGTAGGGATGTTTATGGCGCCAACGTGCTCGATTAAAATACATCTCATGACGTTAGGGGAACGTGGCTGTAGCAGGGATTGGTGTTTTTGGCGATTCTGTACATATCTAAATATTAATCTACTAATTACCTTACCTACTCTTACCGGCCCCGAAACCTGGGATTACGCAGATCGTACGAAAGAGATTCTGAGACAGCTACACATAAACTTATTAGCTGTTCCTGACTAGTATCTAAGGCCTAGTCTAGTCAGGTCCCGACGATACGGTCGCCGGCGATTGCATAGCTTTGTCCGGGTTTCGAAAACCGTTACCACTAGCCTCCAACGCACGAGAGAGGAGAAAAAAATAAGGGTCGGCAATTCCCGTCCATTTCTCTTACACGGGGAGAGGGACTAAGCGAGTTTGTTCGCAAATCCTCTTCGCAAAGGGAATAGCAAAGGCCCGTCATCATAGCCCCTTGGAAACCTAGTGGGTAGCAGTCGCCGAGTCTTGATGAAATGCAGTGGCCGGCTTTCGAGGGATGCGACGCGACGATGCGAGCATCTGCTTTGATAATTTACCAGATTATATGTGCAAGGAATAGGGAGCGTGCCGTGCGATCTTGTGGCGTAAAGATACCTAGGTACGGGATCGTCTCTCTTCTTGACAAGGGTCGACTGCCCGTCAAGATGCTAAAAAGTTGCGAAACGGCCCCCACGAGGTGCCGTCGACGTAAGTCAGCAGCAGGTAGCCGAAGGATCGGGAATTGTTGACTCTCGGGTATCAATCATCTGCATAAGGTTATGTTACAGTCTGCCTCTGCCTGTGTGGTACCTATTTAGAAGCTAAGGTATTCTCTGCCCATCATGGAGGTAGCTAAAATAGTCAACTAAGTATAAGCTTGAGCAACCATAAGCGCGCATCCGTCTGCTGAATTCAGTAGAATCACATGTAGTGTAGCAGTGACACATGTGCCGCCCGCCATCGAGTCTTGCTTTCACCTCTTTAGTCCTATCCTACCGAGGTGGAATCAACGATGGTCCAAACATTTGCGCCACAGTCCTTGGCGAACGATCTTTAGCGACTTGGGGTGTTTCTTGTGGATTATATGTACTTACTATTAGGGATGACAAGTTGAAGCTATATACAACACCTTACTTCGTAATACCTTTATGGAATATTATAAGTGGGGAAAGGAAAGGAAGGAAAAAAGAGTAGCGAATTGTAAAGACGGAAAAGAGAAGAAA